TTTTTCACCCTAAAAGATACGTGTTCCCTGGTACCTGTGAATGTGACTTTATTTGGAAGCAGGATCTTTGAGATGAAATCAAGTAAAGATGAGGCCACCCTGGAGTGGGATGGGCCCTAATCAATAGGAATGGCAAACTTGTGAGAAAAGGAGACTGCCTTGTGAAATTACAGACAAACAGGGAGAAGTCCTGGCAAAGACCGAGGCAGAGACTGAAGCGATGGGGCTGCCGGCCCAGGAATGCCAAGGAGTGACTGCCGCCTCCAGAAGCTAGGAAGACGCAAGGAGAGATTCTGCTGAGTTTCAGCAGGAGCAGGGCCCTACCGACACCTTGATCTCAGACCTCCAGCTTCCAAAACCATAGGACACTAAAAATCTGTTGTTTTCAGCCACCTGGTTGGAGGTGCTTGGTTACAGCAGCCCTAGGAGACGAATAGGGGCACCTTTTATGTCTGGGCGTTGTGTCAGGTATTGGGCAGGGCGCAGAGCGAGGCCAAGGTAGGCATCGCTGGCCGCATCCAGGCAGTCATTCAGCTGCGTGTTTCCTAGGGGCTGGGATGTAGCTGTGAATCAAGGAGATAAAAATCTCTCTGTCAAAGAGTTTATATTCTATTGAGGGGAGGCTGGAGCATAAGAATAACAACAGTACTACACAGCATAGTCAGTGGAGAAAAATATGGTAGAGAAGGGAGATAGGCAGATGGAAGGGGTTGTAAATTTAAATGGGGTGGCGGAAGCCTTCTCAAGGCCACGTTTAAACTGGCCTGGTGGTTCTCAACCCTGGCTGCATACAGTTACCAGGGAAGCTGAAAATAAAACAGAACAAAGACAATCAACAGCAGATCCCACCCAGACTGATTAAGTCAGAATATCTGGGGCTGGGAGTAGGGAGTCTCTCCATGTAAAAGCTCCCCAGGTGATTCTACAGGACGCCCAGTCCCAAGACCATGGTCTAGTGTGACAAGAGCTGCTCTGGAGGAAAGCACTTGCCAAGGTCTGGTGGGGTCATCAGTGAAGGAGTTGACCACAGGCCTGGCCATCCCAGTACACGGTTGGGCAGAGGCCTGGCCCAACTGAGTGGCTGGGTCAGCCAGGCAGGCACAGGAGGCCCAAGTGCAGAGGAGCCCACTTCTGCTCTGCCTGGTGCTGCGGGTTACCCTGCTTGGTGGCAGTCCTGCCTCTGCCGGATTAGAGGACTTTTTCCTTCTTACCTTGGAGGCGTCTCCAAAGCCAGGCCTTTGCTGCATAGCCTCAGGCCTGGGGTGGACCAGCCACTGGTCATGCTGCCTACCGGCTTTGTGTTGGAAGTACTGGTGTTAGCCAAGGGGACACTCACTGAACATGTGCCTTGCCTCATGTACAGCTGATCTGGACCCCAGCTTTCCTTGGTTTTAATTTCCTGAGAGATAAAGAAGAATTTCCAGGACAACTATGTGATGGGTGCTTTCACAAACTGTGGGAAAGACCTCCTTCTCCCTGGGTGGAGGGGGCAGCCGCCTGGGAGGCAGGAAGGCAGAGAGTGGGCCAGGATGGAGGTATGTAGGTGCCCTACCTCCAGCATGCACATGCCTGTATAGCCTCCCTCTGGGCAGGGTGGTGGGCCCACCAGCCACCCCAGACACCAACATCAGAGCTTATGGAGAATCCAAACTCCCTTTCATTTTCTGAGCCCATCCACGGCTGTGCATGCTGGAGCAGCTCTCTGCTGTTCTGAGTCCCGTGGCCTAGCAGGACGGGGCCTGTCGTCTCTGCTCTGCCTCCTCACCTTTTCTTCTCTTCCATTCATTTGTTCCATCTCTTGTCCCTGTTCCCATTTCTCCCACTCTTTCTGACCTCCCTCTTACAGTTGCCTTGGCTGATCCAGGCTAGGACTGAAGTGGCCAGAGGAGCCAGGTTTGGGGAAGTAGCAGTGGCTGGGGGGTACCCTCCTGTGCTTCTCCTGGGAAGATGGAACAGCCTGGCTGAAGCCTCAAGATACATTCTCTGGTGGCCCAGCCTGTTTCCACAGGCCATCTGATTGTCTTCATGTGAGCTGGCAGGCACCTGCTGAGAGTGACCCCTCTCAGGGGGGGTCCTGTACCTGCTGGGGACCACAGCAGCCGCTCCCACGGGTCCTCTCACCTCCCTCTGTTCCATCTACAGTGCCAGGGCGTTGGACTGTGCCTTTACCCATTTAAGATGTCTGTGGGGCCCACAGCATCATCTCTATTGGTTCATCTCCTAAAGTGTAGAGCCAGGTTGCCTGTGTGACCTTGGGCAGGTGGCTTTTCTGTGTCCTCATTTCCTGACGGGATAGTTGTAAGGTGTGAATGAGGTAATACTTCTGTGAGCTTAAAATAGTGTCTGTTTTAAAATGTAGATGTTATGATGCTGAGGCCAACAGATCAGGAGAGGACTGTCATTAAAATTGTCACTCACACGTCCCACGAGGAGGAGACACACCACGCAGGGGCCACAGGGGGGAGGCCCAGGGCAGTCAGGAGGCGGAGGGAGCAGGGGCCTTTATTGTGGTTTGTGTGGGAAGGAGGGGCGGGGCAAGGTAGTGAGGCAGCTGCTTGGCTGGTTTGAATAATGTCATTGCGTTGGCTCGGTGTGTAGGGGCTGTCCCAAGTTGCCTGCACCTATCCCTGGGGCGGTGAGGGCAGGGGATCGTTGTCAGCAGTGGGCTCTGGGTTGGTTGGTTTGTGTGTGAAAGACACACCCTAAGGCAAGTGGTTTACTGTCTCTAGGAACTGGCTTGTCCTAGGAGGCACAAACTCTCCAGAACCTTGGATGTCAAAGCGTGGGAGTAGAAAGACAGGCTTAGCAAAGGGTACCATGCTCCAGTTAGACAAGAGGGATAAACGAGCAGTATGTGAGGCGATAGATTTGCTGATTAGTCTCATCAGTCATTCCACACTGTGGATATGTGACATCATATCACTTTTCACCCATCCCATAAATATATGCAATTATCATTTGTCAATATTTGATTTATGTATTTTATTATTATTATTTTGAGATAGTCTCGCTCTGTCACCCAGTCTGGAGTGCAGTGGCACTATCTCAGTTCATTGAAACCTCCGTCTCCGAGTTTAAGTGATTCTCCTGCCTCATCCTCTCGAGTAGCTGGGATTACAGGTGCACACCACCATGCCCAGCTAATTTTTGTATTTTTAGTAGAGATGGGGTTTTGCCATGTTGACCAGGCTGATCTCAAACTCCTGACCTCAAGTGATCCACCCACTTCAGCCTCCCAAAGTGCTGGGATTACAGGTGTGAGTCCAATATTTGATTTTAAAAGGCATGCTTACGGTACACATTTTTGGAATAAAAGGACAAAATATGTTTAGTTCAACATCATTAATTTTAAAACTGAGACTGTGGGTTCTGGAGCCTCAGGAGTCCCGAGGTGCCTCGGGAGGAGCACAGGCCTTGGAGGTAGAATCCTGCCACTCCGCTGTCTCTAGCTGCTCCGAGACTTGGCCCCCATCTGTGAAATGGGGACACTGACCCCTTGCTTGCAGGGCTGTTGCGCAGACTCAGTGAGATGACATGTCGGAAGCCTCCGCTTAGTGCCTATCAGGAGCACCTCAGTACACGGCAGTTTTTAGAGTTTTGTGTCCCTTTTAAGAAAAATAACTTTAGGAGCCCTTATAGATTCTGGTCCTAGGGTTCTTCCCTCCCATTTCAAAGGAAAAGGAAAATTTTTCAATTTAGGGGACACAAGCCACAGGGACGGGCGGAAGACCTGTCACCAGCTGGTGCACTGAGGAAGTGGGAGGGAGGAGTTGGGGCTTCCAGGGATACTGACTGGCTATGTCTTCCTTTCTCCTCCTTGGGCGTCTTTTACTCTGTTCCTTGTAGAGGTTAGAGGACTCCCTCAGGATGGAGGGCTTGGGGTTGGATTCCCTTCTGTGTGGGACTGGGAAGTGAGAGTTTGCAGGGCCACCATTCTGGCATGAGACGCCTTCCGGAACAGAGGCATAAAAAGCTTCTCCTCCCAGGAGCAGGCCCAGTGCCCTCAGAGGCCACACAGCGGCAGGCCTGAGAGATGGCTGGGAGTTGGGGCCTGGCCCCCTGTTGGCACCCTTCCAAGGCACATACCCAGGCCTTACGCCCCTCCCCTGCCTTCCTCCTGGGCCAGGGGAGGGTGCAGTTAGAGTACAGAAGGAGGGTAGCAGCAGGGAGAGGCAGTGTCCTCGGCCCTCCATGCCAGAGCCTCCTTGTCCTCTGCCCAGCAGCCATGTGGAGCCCCCAGGACTCTTGCTGGCCTGCAGCTCTCTTAGACACGAGGAGCCCCAGGCTGGGCCCTGGCTGCAAGTCCTGCCTCTCCTTCCTCATGGAGGTCTGACTTGGCCTGTTCAGGCTGCTCTAAGAGAATACCAAAGACCAGGGACTTACAGACCACAGCAATGTATTTCTCATGATTCTGGAGGCTGGAAGTCCGAGATCAGGGAACCAGCATGATTGGTGTATGGCAAGGGCCCTCTTTCAGGTCGCAGATGGCCACATTCTCATATTGTCATGCGGTGGTGAGCAGAAATCCAGGAAGCAAGGCACTAATCCCATTTGTGAGGGCTCCACCCTTGTGACCTCATTATCTTTCAAAGGCCCCACCTAATACTGTCACATTGGGCATTAGGATTTAATGCGGGTGGCTCATGGCTGTATTCCCAGCATTTTGGGAGGCTAAGGTGGGTGGATTGCATGAGCCCAGGAGTTTGAGATCTGCTTGGGCAACACAGTGAGACCCTGTCTCCACCAAAACAAACAAACAAATTAGCCAGGTGGGGTGGCACACACTTGTAGTCCCAACTGTTTGGGAGGCTGAGGTGAAAGGACCCCTTGAGCCTAGGAAGTCGAGGCTGCAGTGAGCCATGATCACACCTCTACACTCCAGCCTGGGCAACAGAGCAAGACCACCTCCTCTTAGAAAAAAAAAAGATGTCAGGTATGAATTTGGGAGAGACAAAGATTCAGTCTATAGCAGGGTCTTCCTCCTCCGCCTGTCTCCCCAGCATCCTGTTTGCGGACATCGAGGGTTTCACCAGCCTGGCATCCCAGTGCACTGCACAGGAACTGGTCATGACCCTTAACGAGCTCTTTGCCCGCTTCGACAAGCTGGCCGCAGTGAGTTGCCCTGAGCTGGGGCTGGGGGTGGCTTCATGTGGGCTGTTGAGGGTGGCTGCTGTGGTCAAGGACCTGCTAAACCCCAGGGATGGGCTTGTGCCTGGTTCTACCCTGCTGGGCAGAGCCTGCTGATGATGGGCAGAGGGCCCCCCTCAGGCTGTGGCTGTGTCCTCACGCCCCACGTGGGTCCTGGAGACACTCAGCTGGAGCTGCTTTCAGCACTGTCGCTGACCACAAGGCTGAGCGCAGGGAGCCCTCCACGCCCCTGTCTGTAGAAGTGAGTGGTGAGGCCTGCTGGCCACACTGCCCAAACCCCCAGGGGAATTGCTGTTTGTCTGGGGCACATTAGGTGCCATCAAGCCACATTCCTGATGAGATTGTCCAGACTGATAAGAGAATGAGTGTGAATCCCCAGCTGGTCTGAAGGCAGCTGTGTACCTTTCCCTAGAGGCATTCAATGTTTGGATAAATTGGAAGTAACACTCCATGGCAGAGAGTGGTGAACGACATGTTCATTCTTTAGGCCCCTGTTCACCCCTCCCTTATCCTTTCCCAGCTCTAGGCCTTTGAAGACTGATTAAATGTCAACGGGCACTGGCAGGTGGACACATTCCCCTTTGCCCACAAAGGATGATGCCAGGCCAGGTTATTGATGAGAGGCTGGTGCCATCGGGGCCAGTGCCAGGGCCTCTGGGGGCTTCGATGGTGGGTTGGATACTCACCTGTGGGTTTATCACCGAACTGAATAAGGTGAATGAGTACCTGGCTGGCACTTGGGTCTCAAATGAGTCCAGGCCGCACGAGCACTTGAATCCCTGTGTCCCAACTTACCTTTGGGAGCCAGAGTTGGACTGCTCATAATTGATGATTAGTGATACTCCATCACAATGTGACATGGAGTGAGGGTGGCCCTCAGGTGGCCCCGTGGCACCTGTCACTCAGCAGCAGCTCTGTTGAGTTCTTGACACTCATGTGCTTGCTAGTGTAGCAAAACTCTTGATAAAAATCTCAGGTTGAGAATGAGCTTTTGGTTAAAGCCCATTTCTGCCTGCTTCAGTCTTTTTGTAAAAGGAGGACAATCACACAACTTTTCATAGAATCTCAGGCCATGAATCAGAGAGACTCCTGTGGCATGGAGGGGACCAGAGACCCTCGTACTGGGGTTTGGGGCCTTCCTTAAGCTGACAAGGCCATCCTGCTGGCTGAGCCGCAGTTCCACCAGCCAAATTCCTTTTGGGGCTCTGGATTGGATCTTTAAAAGTGAGCTCCTGAGCCTGGGAGGCTGGAATGCCTCTCAGGGCATCCCAACCCATCCCTCCATCCCCACCGTCCCTCCCTCCCCACGGCTCCTGATAAGCCTGTCCGGGCACCATGCTGAGTTCCGGTGTGGGCCTGTGCTCACTGCCCTAAAAGGCAAGTTATTCCAGGCATGGGGTGAATCTGTTTGCCTCTCATTTCTTTCCCTCCCACTTCTCTTTCCTACTATTTTTAATTTGTAAAATTAATTTGCTTTCCAGGAGAATCACTGTTTACGTATTAAGATCCTCGGGGATTGTTATTACTGTGTCTCGGGGCTGCCTGAAGCGAGGGCTGACCACGCCCACTGCTGTGTGGAGATGGGCATGGACATGATCGAGGCCATCTCGTAAGTGCCCGCCCCCGGGTGCCATCTACCTCCCTGGGACTGTCCACAGCCCGAGCAGCTGACTGACCTGCCAGCTGCCTGAATGGAGCCAGGGAAACAGCGGGGCAAAACCATCTCCCAAAGGTGCCCAGCTAAGCTGACGGTTGGCGTGTGCCAGCAGGCTTTCTGCCTTCTCCAGGGTTCCCTTTCGCTACAGCAGTCCAGGCAGCTTTTCCCAGAGGAAGTGCATGGAAAGGGAGGGCTCTGCAGACTCCAGGGGTGGAGGAGAGGCTGGTGGCCGTGCGAGGACCCTGTGCCGTGTGAGGGCCTTGCGCTTCGGGGTCTCCTGTTTCCTACAAACACCCAGCCAGGTGTTGAACTGCTGGTTCCACTTCTTTCCAGATGGGAAAGGTTGGGCTCGCAGGGGCCAGACAACTCCCCAGGGTGCTACTGCTAGGCAGGCGGATTCAAATGCAGGTGTTCTGCTTAGACAGCATCACCCTTCCTGTGAGCTATAGAAAAAAGACACTTTGGCCAGTTCATGGCTGTCACTGGTCACAGCAGGAGACCTGGTCACTGAAAAACATGGGTGGTCCAATCTTATGTGACAGCCAAGGCAGCAAGTCAGAGACTTTGGGCTTTAGAAATCACCTGGGCAGGGGCAGAGAACGAGGCATAGAGGGCAAGGTTATGGGTGGGAGTGGCTGTCCAGGAAGGCGGCCAGGTCCATGGGTTTGGCCCAGTTCTACTCGCAGCACTTGCCCAGTGTCCCTGGCATGCCTGAGCTAGATAGTCCATCTCCCCAGAAGCACAGAGCCTTCAGGGAGAGACCAGGACTCCCAGTGCTCAGATACGAGGCACGTCATGTGGACACTAGGTAAGGGGGGCAGACTATCATAGGAGGGACGAGGAGAGGACAGTTGATTCCACTGAGGGGATCGACAGAGTCTGCATGAAGGAGGTGGCTGTGGAGTTAAGCCAGAGAGACAGAATGAGCTATTGTCAAGCTAAGCAAGTATCCAAAGGCATTGTGGATGAAAAGTATTTCTGTAAAGGTATTCTGCCACAGTGGAGGTATTTACCAGGTTGACTCAGGACAAGAGAAATGATGGATGACCTAAGTCTCCCCTGCACTGGGTGTCAGCCTCTTGCTGATGGCATGGGGTGGGGGCAGGGAGTCTCAGTGGTGGTCTCACCCACTGGGCCAAATCAGACTGCTGGTCCCATGGCTGGCTGAGTGTGCCCATGCCCCAGGTGTCAGGGAGGGTCTAGGGCCCTAGGAAGTACAATCTCTGTTCATCCATTACCCCACTTCCTGGCACCTGCACCCTCTTCTGCAGACACTGGGTAGGTTCCCATGGGCCCCAGACATGCACCTGGAGATGTATGGCTTCCTTTCCACTTTGCCTCCACTGCTCACCCAGCATGAGGAGTTATAAGTGCGCACAGGGCCTGCCCTATCTACTGGGGGCTCCCAGATATGGATACATAGTGCATGGGGCTGGGACCAAGCTTTCCTCTAGGGCATGGAGCACCTAAACCCCTGCGCCTACCTAGGCTTCCCTCCTCTCCTGAGCAGGGCACACCCTTGAAACCGGGGTAACCACCTTTTGCCATCATCCTGCCAACATCTTGGAAGCAGCAGTGTGGATAAATCCAATAAACAGATAATCAAAAAGCCATTTCTGCCTTACCCACAAGAGCATTATACAAATAGCGTTTGGAGTGGTGGGAACTTCCCTGTTTAATTCAAGTCGGCCTAACATGCATTTGCACTTTTCCAATCACAATTTAATTGACAGGGCAGTGCTGGCCAGAGGTGCCCTCCTGGAGGGGAAGCAGCAGGGCTCTGGTTTTAGTGTGGCACTGTACCACCTTGTGGCCAAGCCTGGAAAAGCCCCTCTGACAGCCACTGCACCTGCCGCCCACCCCAGTCCCCTTCAGGCTGAACATTCTTGGACCCTAGGGCTGAATGGGAGAGAGAAAGCTCTTTGACTCTTGCACCTTCACCTTCCCTTCACCTGCAGCCTCACCCCCACCCTGTGTGCCTGGCCTCCAACCTTCTCCCAGCCTTACCCCTGCTCCATCCCCAGGTTGGTCCGGGAGGTGACGGGGGTGAACGTGAACATGCGTGTGGGAATTCACAGCGGGCGAGTACACTGCGGTGTCCTTGGTCTCAGGAAGTGGCAGTTCGACGTCTGGTCTAACGACGTCACGCTAGCCAACCACATGGAGGCTGGCGGCAAGGCAGGGTGAGTGAAGGCTGTGGGTGGCTTGGGGCACTCAAGCCCACTCAAGGTGACCATCCTGCAGAGGAGAGGTGGGGTGGGCAGGAATGGTAGCAAGCCCCTGGAGGGGGTGGTGCCTGGGGTGGGCACAGTGAAAGTAGAAATTTGTCTAATTTGCCAAATCACCTGTGCTACCATGGGCTCGTTGTGGGAGCATCACGTCAACCTTCCCTAAGCCTTGACCCTAACGATGGTGGCTGGTGAGGTGTGATAGGCAGAGTTCCAGAGGAGGGAGGAAGCACGGATAGTTTGTGGGATGGCCAGACCATAAAGGAGGCAGGACTGGGAGGGTTGAGGAAGGTGGGGTGAGGAGAGCCTGCTGCTAGGCAGGAGGAACACAGCGAGGCAAGGCACAGGTGTGGGAAACACAGCATTTCCAAGGAATGGGAGAAGAGCAGATGGCCTTTTAGGGATGGCTAGGAGAAACAGCGCCTGTGTTCAGAAGGCAGGAGTGCCAGGCTCAGGAATTTGGATTCCGTTTTGTCTCGAGCAGGAGCCATTGCTGGCTTCTGAGCAGAAGTGAGAGGTTTGTAAAGTTTGTAAGACAGGAGGCCATATTATCCCAGGCAGGCTAATGTAACGGTCTGTGCCAGGATGTTCAGTGTGAGATGATGTGGTTGCAGTGGGCACGAGGGCTGTCTTGATGGTAAATCTGGGTACCATGCCAGATTGGGGTTAGGACTTGAGCAGAGCGTGGGGCCCTAGGGTTTGAGTCATGGTGAATCCACAAATTGCAGTTTTTTGGTTTTTTGTGGGAGCAGACATTCTTACTTTGCATTTTCTGCCCTCTTCACCCTGATCCCTGCCCCCCGTAGACGCATCCACATCACCAAGGCTACACTCAACTACCTGAACGGGGACTACGAGGTGGAGCCGGGCTGTGGGGGCGAGCGCAACGCCTACCTCAAGGAGCACAGTATTGAGACCTTCCTCATCCTGCGCTGCACCCAGAAGCGGGTTCGTGGGCTGTGGGGCGGGGGGCTGAAGGGCTCCCTTCTTCCAGGGAGGAACATTTTGATGGCCTGCTGCTTCCTTCTCTTTCCTTGAGTAAAGTCATCAATTTCTTAGGCAATTGTGGTTCCTGCATAATAAAAAGGACCCTAACAGTTAGGCCTTGCAAAAAAAGGATGGTAAAGAGGGAATCTTTTCATATTGCTTCTGTTGCAAAAATGCAACAAGCCTCAAATCAGGAACAAGACATCAGAAGTCCACAAGCTGGAAATCAGCATCAAGGGAGTCTGTGGATACCATATGTTTTATCTCCATCTCTCTCCTTTTGATTTGCTTTTCCTTGGATGGACACTTGTCCTTGTCTCTCCCTTGCTGATCCATGTATCAGGTCCATCTCCGCATGTGCCTGTGTGTCTTTGTTCCTTGAACCTGTTTTCCCCTTTCCCTTTCTAGTCTCTTTCTTCTTCCCCCTTTGTCTCAGCCCACACTTGCTGAAATATAATGCTAAATTATTAGCAGACTTCAGTGTTCTATTTTTAGTAGTGTCATGTTCCATTGTTAATTTTTAAAGCGAACATTTTATATTTAAAGAGAACATTTTATATTTCTGCCTAAACTAAAATGCCTTTTACTTATGAGTATTTCTGTTGAATTTATCTGTCAGTCAGTGCCCTTTGATAGAGAAAAGCTTCGCATTTCTCTTCCTAAGAAGCGAAACAAAAGACAAAATTAAGCTGTGTGAAGAGTTCAGAGAAAGTCTTGGACAACAGCAAAGGCGATTTTTAAAGGGAGGCTGTTGAGGACAGGCGCCCGTGCTGAGAGGGGTATCAGAGGGACACCTTATCCTACTGTGCAGCACCCCAGGGGACAGATCCTGGCTGCAGGGCCCTTCACAGGAGCTGTGTCAGGCCCTCCACAGATGCCAGGAAGAGGGACAGGGGATTCGAGGCACTGTGGGGACAGCTCCTCATGGCTTCCTTGACCCATTGGTAAGGGTTGGCCAGTTGCTTGGCCACAGTTACCAATGAACTGGGTGTTCCGGGCCCTTGTCCCACTCTCCCCTCTCGGTGCCCGGGTCACAGGGCCTCCTGCAGCTTCCTGCCCTAGACGCTGAGTTCTCTGGCTCTTGGTTATTCTCGCTGGACAAGCAGTCTGAAAAAGATGAGATGGAGACAGAGACAGTGACAGGCACCCCCACCTGCAGTGTCAGCTGAAGCAGGCTGTGTCCCCCCGCCCCACACCTTATCTGACAAGGGAGGGAGTTGAGGGGAGGGTTGCCTCAGGTCTCCGGCTCTCTTGCCCCCATTTGGATGGATAGACAGACAGACGAGATCCTGGGACTATTTTGGCCTGTAGACAGCTGACTGAGACTCTGTGTATTTATACAGTGCCTGTCAGCTCTTGAATCTCATAACTTCACTGACCCAAACCTCTTTAGAAGCGGCCTCCTGGGCACCGGGGCGTGTCCCAGTGTCCTCTCTGCTAGAGCATATTTTGGAGAAGTTGAGCAGAGGTTGTGATCCCAGGTCTCCTCTCCCTGTGGCACCCACTTCAGATCAGGCCCTACCCATCCTCAAGGCTGTAGCTAGAAGCCCTGCCCTGCCCTGAGCCCTGGCTTGCCCATGAGCAAAGCCCAGTGTGACGCCACAGCCTGCCAGGGACCAAGTTGGGAGGCTCAAGCATGAGCTGGCCTGGCTGCCTAGGAGACCTAAGCTCAGCCTTCAGTGATTGCCCTGCCCCGCAGAGTAGGGGGAGGAAGCACAGTGCAGGCAGCCGGGTGCGTCAGCTCAGGCCTTTGAGAGCCTAGGCCAGTGAGAGGAGAGAAGGGCACCCGGGTTAGAATCTTACTGTCAAACTTACAGGGAGAACTCCTTGCAAATGGCAGATGTTCCCAAGCCCTTTGCTTTCTCACAAGACAAACTCTCGTCATCTTTTGCAACTCCCACCTGGGCCAGCCAGGGCTGGTGTTAGGGAGTTTGGAGGGATCCAGGATGCCTGCCTGGGGAGTTCCAGGATCTAGGCAGAGCTCTGGGCTCCAGGGCTATGCAGAGAGGAGAGGGTGGCTGCCTTAGCCCCTTACCTGGCCAGGTACCACGTTCTGGGGAGGATGAGGAACTCCCCACTTGGACTTGTTTGGTGACCCTGCCCACAGGCTGACATGTCTGTGTTGGTCTCCCAGAAAGAAGAGAAGGCCATGATCGCCAAGATGAACCGCCAGAGAACCAACTCCATCGGGCACAACCCACCGCACTGGGGGGCTGAGCGCCCCTTCTACAACCACCTGGGTGGTAACCAGGTGTCCAAGGAGATGAAGCGGATGGTGAGTGGCTGGTGGGGCAGTCTGTAGTCAACACTCTCCAAGGCTAGGGCCTTCTGTGGGTGCGAGGCCTGCACCAGATGCCTCACATTGCCCAGGGGAATCTGGGGAGCCAGAGAAGGAATTGGAAGTGAGGTTTGCCCCAACTTTGGACTAGGAGTCAGGGAACCTGCTTCTGGCCTCAAGCTCTCCCCACCACCCCGAGGCATGCCTTGTTAGGCTTTGGAACAGAGCGGCAGCACCCCGTCCTCCCTCCCTCTTGGCAGAGCGTGAGGCACAGCCTGGAAGTAGGCATGTCTGGCTGGACTCAGCCAGCCATAGCTTCCAGCTGTCTCTTGGCACTGTCTGGTGAGGCCCCAGGGAGTTGGGTGGGCACCACATACCCTCTTCCAGCACTTCCTGCATTTCCCAGGCAAGTGAAATCACATCTTCTGGTTCAGTTGCTCAGAAGCTATCCTAGTGCTTTCTGGGAAGTGCCAGGGGGTGGTCCCCTTTGCTGTCTGTGCTGAGAAACACCCCCCACGAATGCCAGCCTTCCAATGGGGACATGAGGGCTGAGCAAGTCAGGGAGGCCATGGTCGGGTGTCAGCTCTACCCCCTGCACACACTGGGACAGGTTAATCAGGATGCACTGCCTGGGCTCTGGCAGCAATGACAGGAAGATGATTCCTGGTGGGAAGAGGAAGAACGAGGACAAGAAGCCATGTTACCGCAGTGGTGTTTTCTCTCCTTCTGTCTGTGAGCTTGGCTTCTGCGCCTCGTGTGTGCTGCTCAGCTCAGGGACACCAGGTTCCCAAGTGGGAGTCACCCACACTGAGGAAAGGCCGAATGATGGTGCAGGGCCTGTGTGTGTGTCTGTGTGTGGTGTGTGTGTGTGGTGTGTGTGTCTGTGTGTGTGTGTGTCTGTGTGGCCACTTAGTGAAGAAGGAGGGGCATGTTGCACAAGGAGCTCCAAGTCTGGGCTCTGTGGAGCAGACTGGGCTGAGGTTGCAGCAGAAGGAATCAGAGATGAACTCCACAGAAATCCAGCCGAGTCAGCAGACAAGAACCAGGAGAGCCTGGAGGAGGGGACAGGCTGGGGACCCAGCTGCTCTGCTCCTTGTTAGCCAATGAGTAGCAGATGATACAAGTTTAAGGGAAATGTACAGGAGGAAAAGTGATTTAAGCCAAGACCCCCATTTGACATTTGGACAGTAGAGACACCACTGGGGGGCCTGGGTTACCAGAGAGCAGATTGGAGCTACCTGGCCTTCCCCAGGGCTCCCAACTTGACTGTCCACAGACCTGGTCAGCACCACCGAGGGCTCCAGCCACCACCCTCCCTCCCCCAAGCAAAGAGCAGTTGGTGACCCTCCCCATCGTCACCCCGGCCCTTTGATAGTCTCCTACAGGCTCTGTACCCACATGGTCAGGGCAGTCAAGAGTTCGAGACCAGCCTGGGCAGCACAACGAGACCCTGTCTCCACAAACAATAAAAAGGAGAAGGGAAAACTAACTAGGCATAGTGGCATGCTGCTCCTGTCCTAGCTGCTTGAGAGGCTGAGGCAGGAGGATCGCTTGAGCCCAGGAGGTTGAGGCTGCAGTGAGCCATGATCACGCCACTGCCCTCCAGCCTGGGGGACAGAGCAAGACCCTGTCTCACAAATAAAAATAAGGGAGAAGGGGGGAAAGGGGGAAGGATGGAAAGCAGGGACAGCAAAGAGGGGCAGGAGAGCTGAGAGAGAGGAGGCGTTGAGGAGGAGGCAGAGGGGAAGCTGAGGAGTAGGGGAGGTAGATGAGGAGGAGGGGAAGGCAGAGCTGGCGGGCAGAACAGGAAAGAGCCAGCAGGGAGATTCTCTTTGTTTAGAGTCCTTGAAAGTTATTTTTTGGTGATATTTGATATAAGCTGTATCTTTAGTTATCTTGGAGTCTTAAAGGAGATCGTTTGGACTATAAACTCTGGGTTGGCAGATGTATTACTCATCATTAGGACAGGAACTTTGGAAGAATTCGCAATCAGGGCTCTCATGCGGAAGGGACAGTCTTTGGAGAAAGAGGCTGCCAGGAAGTCTCCTCCAAGGCGTTCATTGCTTTGCCCAGCAGGGAGAAGGAGTGCGGAAGAACAGGGCTGTTGGAACAGAGGCTCCTGTCCTGGCTGGGCCACGTATCCCCTGAGGGGACTGCCATCAACGAACAGCTTCTGGGCCCCACTCCAGTGTGGCCAGTGGGAATCTCTAGGCTGGGGATGGAGACAGATTCTATAGCTGCTGCGAGGGCTGCTGGGCTTTTGGTGCTATGCGTGCCTGGAATCTCGGAGAGAGATCCACAGAAGGCGAGCTTTCACCCCCGTCTGCCCACGCTGGGATGAGTTTTATGAGAAGCCACTGAAGGTGGGATAGGGGCGGGGAGCGTGCAGCAGTGACTGAGAGCAGTCAGGTTTGAACTTGGAGTCATCAGTACCTTTTACATCTTTTTCCAGCTTTTACTGAGCTTTTAAAACAGTGACAAGCCGTGCTGGTGGATGCTTAGGCACTAGTGTCGTAAGTCTTTAAAATTATTTATTAATAAAAAGGTTGCCAGTGGGAAGACATGTGGGCTTGAGCTCCTCTCAGCAAACCCAGGAATGGACAGCACGGGGGGCCCAGGTGTTGGAGAAAGGGGTGCAGGAGGACTGGGAGAGGCCAGGTAGCTGCTGTCCTGGAACTTACAGAGTAAGCAGGTGATGGGATCTGAGCCCAGTCTGCTCCGTTGTTCTTAATGGCCCCCCCACCATGTGACCCAGTGTGTTTTCTGTACTGTTACCAATTCACCATGCCCACCTGGCTCTGAGCTGTCCACACCAACCAGGTAAGCAGTGTGGTTAGGATGGTCCTGGCCCCTCACTGAGCTCAGGAAGAAAAAAATGGGTCCCCAGCACCAGCCTCCACAGAAGACTAAGCGGAGCATCAGGAAAGGTCAGAACAGGCTTATTCACATTTCAGTCTATTTTTGAATTATAGAGACCACCATACTTGTAATATAGCTCTGTTGTTCTCGGTTCCGTAGTAAAAGTTTTGCTGGCTCCTGGGATGGAACTGAGAGGTCCAGTCCCACGCAGGGGGTCTTCCACAGAGAGGTTGCTTGTCCATCTCTCTGCTGCCCAGCCATGCCTGTGCTCTAAGGGATCCTGGGAGCATCAGGCACAGGCCTGCCCTATCCCTGCCCCAAAGGAGCACTCACTTGAGTGACATCCACTCTTTCAGCCCAAGGCTGGGATGGTGATGTGAGACCACTTTGCAGCCTGGAGGGCCTGGCCATTCTCAGAGGACAAGAAGGGTGCAGCTTGCCTGGGCAGACAACTGCCAGGCCATCCAGGGCTGTGCTGGCAGTCCAGTAGGAGCTCAGAGCCCATAGTCACTTGGAGGTAACCCCAGAGCCTCTGAGGCTCCCAGGACCCCTCAGCTAGGGGTACAGCCTCTGTGCTGTGAGGGCCCCACATCTGTTTCAGTGCCTGGTGGCCCTGGCTCATGGAGAGAAATGTAAATCCCTCTTTTTGAATTTTCATAACATGTTTTTAGGGGAATGAAGAGCGGTGTGTTCATTTGGATTTCGGGCTCACCCAGTGTTTGCCAAACTCTGTTTGCCCAGCAGAGTGCTCCACGCTGCCAGGGAAGGGGCATCCTCTGTCCTTGTCCTGGCATCCCAAGGCTGATCTAAACAGCACGTCCTGAGGCTGCTTGTCACCTCCCGCACCACCTCTGAGATTCCACCCCTCCCTACGGTGGGGAAGCCTCCATTCTGCCACCACTGGTGTGACCTCAACACTCATCTCCCTTTGCAGAATTCATAAAGAGCGCTTTGAGTTTGATAGCCGGCAAGGGCCCTTCCCACTCTCACCTCTGATAGAACAGTAGTCAAATCTGTGGCAGGTGGGGTCCTTACCCTCTGAGTCTGCAACCAACCCTGGCCTTATAAGAATGGAGTGATTCTCAGATACCAAACAGCTATTGCAGGTAACTAGAGTGCAGTTTTTCTAAGTGCAAAATGTGCAAACTCCTGGAGACTTTGTGTGTGCTTAGTGTGATGTACGTGAGGAGGTGGGTGTGCATGAATGTGTACATGTGACAGAGATTGCACATCCCAGCAATTCCTGATTTCCATCTGAGTAAGAGGCAGGACTGAGAGGGGACCGTCTGAGCCCAGGGTGCCCAAGGATGGCAAGGAGAGCTTTGGGAAAGGAGTCCAGCGTGGGGGCAGGGAGAGCTTAGACACATGGATTTTGTCTGTGGATGAAGTGAAATATCAGCGCATTCCCAGTGTCTAGCACAGCACCTGTCTCTTAGGGAGAACCCAGCTGTATTCTCCAAGTTAAGGAAGGAAGGAAGGAGCTGCTGAGTGTCAGTGCTCTCTATGTCCACGGCCTTTGAGAGACTGTAAAGAGGAGATGAGCTGCAGCCTTGTAGAAGCCCTTAAGATTTCAGTTCTCTCCGTTCTCATTCTCTTCTCTTTCTCTCTCTATCCTTCTCTTAGGGCTTTGAAGACCCCAAGGACAAGTGAGTAGTAATATGCCCTTCCTTATTCCTGCTCCCTGGGTCTGGGGGATAGCTCCCAATCCACCTTATCACTTGGTTTCCCCAGTCCCCATGGAAAATGACCCCTCTTGCAGTCTTAGCTGAGAGTGAATGGAGCCTACCCTAGCTGCCAGGTGGTCAGCAGCAGTCCCAAACAGGCCAGGACAGCCCAGGAGCCCAGGCCACCCAACATGAGGACTGGGCCTCAGCATTGCCCATTTTATCTCTGTGACACGTACTTGCATGTGTGCACACACACAGCTCCTTCAGGAAAGTACAGACCTTACCCACTGGTCAGCAGCGCCTGGCATTCAGTGCCCCGAGGAAATGCCCTCTTCTCCCTCCTTCACTTCCGGCTCTCAGGACTGTCAGAAATTCCACTCCAGGACTGGGTTCCACCCTGAGAAATAGGGTGTTGAAGGTCAGCACTCAAGTCTATGAATCCTGCTTCTCAAGCATGCCCTGAGCCAGGTGAAAGAAAGCAGGTGGGCCACAGTCACCGTGGCAGAAAATGGCAGAAACTCTCACTGCCAATCTCGGCCTCCTTTTCAGGAAGATAGCACAGCTAGAGGGTAAAGAGCAGAACCCCTTAGCTGTTAAGTCCAATTAAACCATCAATGGTAGCTCACATTGTTATGCTAACATAGTATGTTACCAGAGTCAGAAAAACCTATTGCCAACAAGGCCCTTCAGCCTGAAGGTCCAGGTCCCAGACTTGGGCAATTTTCTGTTCATCTGTGCAGTTGTTAAGAGCATGGCTTAGGCTTCAGCTCCCGCTGCCCTGATTGAGCTGATGGTGGATGGCTGCTGGGCCTCTCTGAGAATCTGGGTGGACAGAAGAGCCAGCCTCTGCCGGTGCCCCTGTGGTCAGCCTGTCTCATGCCTGTGCCTTCTGCTTCCCAGGAATGCCCAGGAGAGTACAAACCCTGAGGATGAAGTGGATGAGTTTCTGGGCCGCGCCATTGATGCCAGGAGCATCGATAGGCTGCGGTCTGAGCATGTCCGCAAGTTCCTCTTGACCTTCAGGGAGCCTGACTTAGAGAAGAAGGTATGGCACCTGGGTGGGAAGGAGACCCCTACGCCAAACCAGGATGAGAAGGAAGAGGGCAAGGAAACAGGACAGCTCCCTCCTGCCCCCAGCACTGCCTGCGGAAGGGGTGGCCTCACTTTCCCCAGCTCTAATGCATTGCTACCTAGGGAGATGAGGATGCTAGGGAGACTTCCGTGGCTGGAAGGGATAAATCTTAACTTCTCCATGCCTTAATTTCCTTATCTGGAAAATGGGGACAGTTAACATTCCCACTTCATAGGGTCATAGTGAGGATGAAATGAGTTTTTGTTTTTTTTTTTTCCTGTTTTGCTTTGCTTTTTTCTTTTGAGATGGAGTTCGCTCTGTTGGCCTGGCTGGAGTGCAGTGTACAGTGGCTTTATCTCTGCTCACTGCAATCTCCTCCTACCGGGTTCAGTGATTCTCCTGCCTTGGCTTCTCGTGTAGCTAGGATTATAGTCACCTGCCACCACTCCCGGCTAATTTTTGTATTTTTAGTAGAGACAAGGTTTCACCATGTTGGCCAGGCTGGTCTTGAACTCCTGACCTCAGGTGATCCACATGAGCCACTGCACCCGGCCAAGTTTGTATGTATAAAACAGTATCTGCCGCACAGTAGGTGTTCAGTGCACATTAGTTGCTATTTGCATTAATGCTGTTATCATTGTCAATGGACAGCCCACCTGCTTTGTCACACTGGGACCTCAAAGTGTTACAGCTGGCAGGGGTAGTCAGGATCTCTCTGTTGCGTCTTATTGTGAATGAGAAAGCTAAAGCCCAGAGTAGTGGGGGGGATCTGCTTTTGGCCACCCAGTGAAGTGGTGGCAGAGCTGGAGCCAGACCCTGGTCCATTCAGTTCTCTTTTCACTGTGTGGCAGTGTCTCCCCAGAGTTCAGTTAAAATGGACTTGTGGTACGCTTGTTAGCATTAAGCCAGGCAAACAAACTGAATTAGCAGGGTGAAGCTGTGGAAAGGGACCAGCAGCATATGGACCTCACTTGGGTGTTACTCAGGGTGAATGTGCCAGCCCAACCTCCATCAGTGTGGCTGGTTGGTATCATGGGAGGAGCTGAGGCTGGGAGCCTTAGATGTGACGGGACAAGTCTTGCGATCTCTCTGGGGCCCAGCTTGCTCATCTCTGAAGGAGAAATGACAACAGTTCTATGCCAGCTTCCCAGGCTGTTGTGGGGATGCCGGATGATGCCCGTAGACACTTGGCATGTTTCCTAGCATATAGAAGGCATGCAGTCATGTACAGCCATGATCATTATGGATTACTCTGAAGATGACCCGCCTGCAAAAGGTTTCAGTTCCCTCTCAACTGCCCTCCCCACAGGCACTACCTTCTGGTGATCTGGACTGGTTTCCCAGGGTCTAAGTCTGGCTCTGGTTCTCAGGTCTTTCCTATTGTGGGAGTGGGCTGCACAGGTGACCAGCCCTGAGCGGCTGCCCTGAGCGTGTGGGATTGACAGGGTTGCAGTGGACTGGGCCAGGTGCCTTGGCCCCTCTCACCCTGCCTGTCTCCTCTCAGTACTCCAAGCAGGTGGATGACCGATTTGGTGCCTATGTGGCATGTGCCTCGCTCGTCTTCCTCTTCATCTGCTTTGTCCAGATCACCATCGTGCCCCAGTGAGTATCCCCATCCTTCTTGGGCTCCTTCCTCTGGCCACAGGGGATTCCAGGGGTGGGAGGGGGGTGGTCATTTAGGAGAACAGAGCAGGGAGTCTGGCCTGCTCTTGCTCAGGCAGGGACAGAAGTGTGCCTTCAGTGGGATACGAAGCCAGGGGTCTGACCTCTCTGGATGGGAAGGTGATGTGCTCATTCCAGGGTGGGTGACTTTTCACCAGGTGCTGCTCAGCTGCATGAGAGATGCCTCTTTTTTATTTTTTTGGAGACAGAGTCTCACTCTGTCACCCAGGCTGGAGTGCAGTGGCACGATCTTGGTCACTGCAACTTCTGCCTCCTGAGTTCAAGAAATTCTCCTGCCTCAGCCTCCTGAGTAGCTGGGACCACAGGCACCCACTGCCATGCCCAGCTAATTTTTTATATTTTAGTAGAGATGGAGTTTCACCATGTTGCCCAGGCTGGTCTGAAACTCCTGAGCTCAGGGAATTTGCCCACATCCGCCTCCCAAAGTGCTAGGATTACAGGCATGAGCCACCGAGGCTGGTCAAGAAATGCCTTTTTATCACTTAATTGTCTTGTCCCATTAGCCCACCCTACCACTAACAATTGAGTCACCCCAAGTATTCCCTGGGATGCTTTCTGTGTGACCTTTGGTTCTTGAAAAAGAAAAATCTTCAAAAGATGTAGGTTTTCTACTACTTGGATATTTCTGAGAATGGATTCCAGGTTCTGAAAGTATTTCACAAAGAGGTGTTTCTGAACTCTTCTGATGACTGGCTGTGTTGCCGAGAAGGCTGTGGCTTCTGTGGGGAGTATTTTGAAGTACGCAGTGGGCTTTTGGAAATGAGGTGTTTGTAAAATTGTCATTCGCATTAGAGTCTCGCCTGGAAGAGAAACATCATTGCCTTATGTATGTACACCCATGCACACACAACTATACACACAGACACACACACACACGTCTATGTAGAAATACATATTTTTACTTTTTACTATGTAATTCCTCAAGTGCACAGAAAAGTAAAGTATTAATCTAATCAGTACCCATCCCCTAGATAGAACAACTGTTAATATTTTGCATTGTTTCATCTGTTTTTATTCTGATTTTTAAAAGTAAATTCAGACACAGACATTTGACTCCTAAAAACCTCAATATATGCCTATTTTAAGGACTTTTTTCTCCTTAATCACAATACTTCATACCAAAAAAATTAACAGCAATTCCCTGTATCTATATTCAAATTTCCCAAACTGTCCCCAAAAATGTCTTCTGCTTCTAGTTTATTTGTAGCCAGGATCTACTCGAAATCCACTGCTTGCATTTGGTTGTATCTTCTAAGCCTTGCTTAATCTAAAGAGTCCCTGAAGCCAGTACCTTCTGTTTTTCATGTTGAAATCATTGGTTTGAGAAGTTACAAAAGGAGTGAGGGATTCTGTGCAGCCTGCATCCAGTTTCCCCGAGTGTCGACAACTTCTGTAACTGTAGCATAATGATCAAAACCCGGCAATTAACGCTGAAACGATACTGTTAATTCATCTACTGACTTTATTCTGATTCATCATTTTCCCCTCACTGTCCAGTGTGTGTTCCAGGAGCCAGTGCAGGATCCCACTTTGCATGTCGTTGATTCACGTCCTCCATCCCATCCCCCCCGTGGCAGTTCTTCAGCCTTTGCTTGTCTTTCTTGACCTTGGCACTTTTGAGGAGTGCTGGCCAATTCATTTGTAGTTTCAATTTGGGTGTGTCTGATGTTTTTTCATGATTAGATTGGGGCCTGCATTTTGACAGGGCTCCCGCTGAAGTGGAGATGTCTCCTTCCCTGCGTACCATAGCCAGAGGTACCTGATGTCGACATGGGTTTTATTTTTATTGACATTAAAAGAATGAGAAGATCTCCCTTATATTTGTATCTGCCGTCACTCTGTTGGATGCCACAGGTGAGAACCAGGCACTGGCAGCCAGCTCCACCCTGGTTGACCCCTGCACTGAGGCTGTGTAGAGCTGGGGTTCTTGTTGGCACAAAAACCCATCTTTCTGTAGTGATGTGGAGCCACAAGTATCAAGAAGCAACCTGGAGGCGGGGCGCAGTGGTTCACGCTAGTAATCCCAGCACTTTGGAAGGCCGAGGCAGGCGAATCACTTGAGACCAGGAGTTTGAGACCAGCCTGGCCAACACAGCGAAAACTTGTCTCTCCTAAAAATGCAAAAATCAGCGGGGTATGGTGGCGCACGCCTGTAATCCCAGCTACTTAGGAGGCTGAGGTGGGAGAACCACTTGAACCTGGGAGGCAGAGATTGCTGTGAGCTGAGATCACACCACTGCACTCCAGCCTGGGCAACAGAGCGAGACTCTGTCTCAAAAAAAAAACAAAAAACAAAGGAGCAACTTGGGTTTTTGCTCCCATTGCGACTGAGAGTCCCTGTAGCTTGAGTGCACAGTCCTGCCTCTGCTGCCTTTCCTTCTCTGCAGCACGGCTTGGAGGCTGGGTCATCCCAGTTACCTGCCCTGCCTGCAGCGGCTTTATTCCCACCTCTGGCCACAGCTCCTATTGGCAGAGGCCATTCTCTAGCTGCCTTCTCTGTAGGAAAGCCTTAAAAGCCACTTTTAAGATCTTTCTTTTCCTCTGAAGAGAATTCGTTTCTCTTGTTCCATTTGTTGAAGGCAGCTAAGTGCCGCTTCTGTGGAGGCCTGGAACAAAGATGCTGTTGGAGTCCTCCCTGGAGGTATTCACCTGCCTCTCACGCTCCCCACTGGCTTTTAACCCCATACCAATACCTGACATCGCCAGGCCACTCTTCCTCCCTTGAAAGGCCACCTGGTGGTATAGCGGGGTGTTGTCCCCAGGCCAGCCCCTACATCTGGAGGGCCAATGGGAAGTTCTGGATGGAAAGTCACTTGCACCTCTTTTGTCTGAGGGTGGCCGTGAAGGTCACCTGTGATCTGCATCTGAAAGGAGGGGCAGAGGGAAATCCTAGCAGTTTTCTTGTTGAACTTTCTGGGAATAGAGGAACAAACACTGCAGGACTTGTTGTGGGACCTGGCCGTGGAAAGGGGGCGGGGTTTAGAGGTTCTGCCCTTCTGAAGAGACAGTCACCCCTGCTTCTCAGAGTGGCTGACTGGGCTGCTGACAAAGGCATGTCTAGAAATGAAGGCCACTGGTCCAATCAGTTTTCAGCCGTCACAGTTTTAGAGCTGTGAGCAATGACTTGGAGGGAACAACTGGGTGGTTCTTCCAAGCTAAATGAAGCATGTCAGCGAGTAGCTAAGAATTACGCAAAATACCTATCGGATCAGGTGTCACCTGATTCTCCATTCAGCTCCCTGTGAGCTGCCGTCCCCACAAGAAGGGGAGGGAGCCATACTGTAATGGGGAGGGCTCCAGAATCCACCTGCAAGGCCCTGTAGGCCCTTGTCAGGGAGTCAGTGCAAAAGGCTGGGCAGTGGATTAGCGGAGATGGAGCGACTTCAGGTGTCCTCTCTGGATTTTGGAGCCCAGGCCCTCTGAAGCTGTGAGACAGGGCATGGGGGACCAGTGGCTTGATTGCCAGGCAGGCCCCCCCAGAAGCTGTAGCCCTGCCACCTGAGCCTGGCTTCTCCCTCCTCTCCTCTCTCCCTCCAGCTCCATATTCATGCTCAGCTTCTACCTGACCTGTTTCCTGCTGCTGACCTTGGTGGTGTTTGTGTCTGTGATCTACTCCTGCGTAAAGGTGAGTGTAGCTGACACCTGGGTTGCAGCCACCTTCTTCCCGCTTGTCTCAGCCCTGGTGGGGGCCCTACCCAGGGGCCTGAAATGTGAAGGGGCCCAAGTATTGTGCTTGGCATGGGGTGGGAGAGTGCCTGATGCTGGCCACACCTCTCCATTGGCTTTGGCAGCAAGCTCGCCTGGAGGCAGGGAGATGGTCAGTGGGAGCCTGTTCTTCACTGGCTGCTTTAACTTGCCCCTCGCAAATCTTTGCAACCAGAAGATGCTGTGGCTGCTGCTCCTATTCATGTTATGCAGAAGGCAGGAGGGCACCTAGCACCAGGCCTGGCACAGAACAGTGCGCAGTGGCCCAGTGAACATTTGCTGAGAGAATGAGTGTGGAGGAGGTCTCTCTTGACACCCGCTTTGGTGCTCCCATGTGCTCTGGAATTTTCCGTGGAGGGGACCTCAGAGATTACGGATTTCAAGCATCCCCGAACATAGATGAGGAGTGTGGCCCCAGAGTGATTCGGTGTTTCTGACGGGGCCACACAGCCAGCTGGTGTTAGCAGCATGAGTCCTGGAACAGAAATGTGGCTCCTGATCTGAGTTTTTCTCCTGTATCTCTTAGGCACGCTGTGTTCCCTGCCCAGGCTGTGTCCCTCACTGCGACCTGACCCCAGGTCATTCTGGTCTGTGGTAGAAAACACTCAGGTTTCTGTTTGCCCTGCCCATCAGGCCTTTCCCTCAGTTTCTTCACCAGTGGTTTCAGAATTTCCTGACGCATCAGCCTGGCCCCAAAGAAGCACTCATCCCTGGGGCAGATCTGTGCCTCTTCCACATCTGCTGAGCCTCTCAACTCCTCCCTGACACTGGGAGCCAAGCCCTTGGCATGGGCAGTGGGGCCCCTTGGAAGCAGCAGCTGTGCTATAACTCCCTCTAATGCAGTGAGCACCATGTCTTCCTTCAGAACTGGAAGGGACCTTAGGAATATCTGGTGTGGTTCACCTCCCCTGGCAGGCACAGTGGTGGATGCCCAGAGATGGGCAAGGTCAGCCAGAGCCATCGGGCATGTCTGTGAGAAGCACGGCACGCTAAGCCGCAAGCTTCGCTGGTTTGTCCTATTGTAGCATCCGATAAGCTTCATCATAGGGCTTAATGCTGGTTCCCTGCCTCTCCACTGACCCTCCTTCCTCAAGGCCACAGCCTCCCTCCTGCCCCATGTTCAGCCACTCCTGTCTTTTGTGATTCAATAACATGCCGCTGCAGTTATACAGCATATTTTGTTTAATTCATCTGTTGATGGACGCTTGGGTTGTTACTACTTTGTGGCTACTGAGAAAATACGGTGTCCTTTCACCGTATGAAGAAGTGGAACTGTCCACTCTGGGTAAAGCAGGCTGTGGGGAGCCTTGACAACAGCAAGACCAAAAGGCTGCCTCATTCCCTCCTGGCCTGAATAGCCATCTTCTCAGGGTTTATCTGCTTTCTGGAACACACAGCCCAATTCGAAAAGTTGTTTGTAATATGAACTTCTTTCCATTGAATTCTTCTTCGCTCTTTGATGTTGTGGGTTAAATGGCTTGCATGTGAAGACATGAAAGGGGATTGTCCCTGGCTCTACCTCCTGTCGTGTGCATGGCAGGGATGTCAGCCTGTCACTGAGGAGCACGCGTGGCATGCTCACTGCGGTGGGTTGACTGAATGAAGTTCATTTTCTCGCCTTCGCAGGTGCTCACACAAAGCTGACTGGCCTGCAGTGTTTAGTTTTTGAAAAACATTTGTGGTTTTACCAGAACTCAGAAACTTTTTCTCTCATTTTCCCAATCTCTCAGAAGTCACGGGGAGTGGCTCTGTGGTGAGATGCAACAATTCCTAAATTACCCCCAAGCCAGGCCTTGTCAGCCACTTTCTCTATTTCATGTACTTTTCCGTTTTCCCAGAACACTATGGACCAACTTCCTTAAACCGTCTGTATTTCCACCTTTTCGAAGGGAGAAATATGAGGAAGTATCCACTGAGTGAGTCGTCTTCTCTGGCTGCCAGGGAGCAGTTTTGCCTTGTCCTTTCTGGTTTTTGCCTTCTTACTAAGTGCTCTGGTGGCCTTTTTATCTCGGGCCTGTTCAGTCTTTTCTCAACACAGCTCAGTGCAGCTCACACACTCCCCTGGATTTCTCGTTGAGGCTGACTTGGTGCCTTGGTCTTCATCATGTCCTCAAGCCCTGGTTCCACTCCTAAGCCTCAGCTGCCTTGCTGAGCCTCCACTGCCCCTCAGATGCCTTGCCTTAGGGACCGTTCCCCTGAATGCTTCCTTCTGGAGATGCTGTTTTAGAGGGCGAGTCTGCACATCTGCACACAACACCACATCCTTCCCTTGACATCTGTGCTGACCTGGGCCCCAGAACTGCTTTTCTTACAGAAAACCATGCTAAAGCCCTGCTCACCATGGCACATTGTCCACAACTCTGGGAATCTCGGGTTGAAAGGGGCCCATGCAGTGAGAGGGCCCAGCCATGCACCTGAGGCTGGAATTCCCTGTGATAACCCTGCAAGGGGTGGGCCAGCCTGTGCTCAGTCATCTCCAGGAATGGGGAGCTCAACCACGGCTCCTGAGTGCAGCCCCTTCCTCTTTGGCCAGCTCTGAATGCTCCATTAGGCTCCCTTGGAGTTCCTGCCTCATATCCAGTGAAGCAGCCCTGGTCTATACCTGACAGTGCTGGGACTTTTGCCGCCTCCGCCCAAATGGGGACACTCCTTTCCCCACCATCTGATCCAGGCCCGCAGCCTTCACTTAGTGCAACCTTGTTCGGAAGGCCAAACTCTCCTTCCCAGCAGTTTGGGACTTAGGTTACAGATAGGCCCTGTGGGGGAACTCCGCTGCTGTGTGTGTGCGTGTGTGTGTGTGTATAAATCTCTCTTACCTCTAGCCTGATGGCTCGCTCTTAGACTACATCATACTGATCCCCTAGACCTGGTGGTCTGAGCACCAGCGCCTGGGATGCCTGACCAGAGCCTCCTGTGGGCCCTGTTTGCTCTGCAGTCAACAGCAGAGCCTCTTCTTCTCTCCCTGCAGCCTGCCTGTAGCTAAGCCCACCTTGCTGGTTCTCCTTTCTACCATTCCAACTCGACTCCTGGTCCACAGTTTCTAAAATAGAGTCTAACTCTGCAGCCAGTACCCCTCCCCTCCTCGGTGTCTTCTATCCTGTGAGGATTTTAGGATTCCCACGTTTACCTTTCTACCTGCATGCTCAGGGCCATATTCATCTCATCATTCACATCTCATCGTACACTTCTTTCATTTGAGATGGAGAGGTCTTCATTCCAGTAGGCATATTGTAGGTTACCCCTGTGTTTTTCAAGTCAAGGCAGTCCAGGGTCCACATCCAAGCTATGCTGCTTTGAGCTATGTCTCCTGAGCCTCAAAGGTGACTTTTATTGAACTTACTTTGCAGATGAGGAAACGGAGGCTCATAGAAGTTAGACAGCTTTTTCTAGATTCTGGAGTTAGGAAGTGGTTATAGCTAGGATTTAAACCCAAGCAGTTCTTACTCAGAGGTCATGAGCGTTCCCCTCCAGGACACTGCCTCTGCTGATATGTCCAGTTGACTCCTGAAAGGCCAAGTGATGAGACCACTGGTGTGGACCCCTTTTGCCTGCCAGGTTTGACTTCCGTGGTTTTCTTACCTTCTTTTCTTTTTCTGAAGTAGGAGCTCTGCTTCTTTTATTAGCTCCTTGTCGAAGAGGCTGTATTCTTAAATTTTTTTTGCCATCCAGCTTCATCCCCTCCTTTTATCTTTGCAATACCCTGACCCCACATCACAGGCAGGAGCCTAGGGAGGTCACTGATATGCCTGGAGATGCTCAAGGAAGCCAGGATCAAAACTGCTCCTTACCCTAATCATAGTTTATTAACTATGTTCCCACGCCTGTTTTTCATGTTGAATTGATTTAAATTTATCGGAGTGGGAATGTACTGGTTCTGAACTTTTTTTTTTTTTAACATTAGTTGGGCTCTGATTGTGAGCAGACATTAAGTGATTGATTGGTGCAGGCAGTGATCCTGCTGGAAAATGCTCTCCATGATCTGACTGCAGTTGTGGTGTAGCCCTGGGAAGAGACTCTGCCCCGGCAAAGAGTTTTAAGAGCCACACCGGGGTTAGTAAAATCTGGATTTAGGGTTGACATACAGGATGAAAGCTCTGCTTAGAGATGAGACACTCTAAAGTGATATCAAGACAGGATGTCAAATCTTCTGGAGACTTCAAAAAAGCAGCAGTTCCTGAGTTCCTACGGAGGTTTTAAAGTCAAGAGAAAGTCTTTTTAAAGGGTGTAGAGGGAAGTTGGCTTGTAGCAAGCAAGCCAGTGCACATTCAGTCATTCATTAGATGCTAGAGCCACATCTAATATTGATTTTTTTTTAAGCCTGCAGTTCTTCTCCTGGCCTCTGGATGGTCCTGGTGGGCACCTGGTCCCATATTCACCAGGAAGCTAAAGTGCATACCCTATTCCCCAACCACCTTTTAATAAGAAAGTTTTAGCATGTATTAATAACCTTTGCCTCTATCATTCATTACCTTGGTGGGTGCAAAATGATTAAGGAAGCCTCTCCATCAGTGGATGGGGTGACCAAAACTGAACAGTTTAAACAACATTGGGTGTATAGGATTTGGGGTGGGGGGGCAGGGGAAGGGGATGGAGATAGAATGACAGCATTTTAAGCAACCAAAGATTTGAAACCATCTGTCATACCATTTCAGAGTAAGATCCTCATGCTAGTGCCAAAACACTTTCCCCAGCTGTGAAACCAAAAAGTTCTTTTAAATGGGAAATAAGGACTTTCATTCTCATTGGCAGCATAGCTCTTTAAAATGCAAATATTAGCTAACTTTTCTGTTGCATTTAACAGCTCACAGAGCACTTTCAAATGCATCAGTTTACTAAGTCTTGATAGCCACTCTGGGAGAGAGCTATTCCCAATTTCCCAATAAGGAGACTGAAGCTCAGTGTAGAGTAATGCCCCAGAATCACACAGCCAATAAGAGGCTGAACAAGGTTTTTTAAAATACAAGCTTCATTGAAATATAATTTGCATACTATAAAATTCACCTTAATAAAGGTGAATGAACTTTTGCTAGTTTTTAGTATATTCACAAAGTTGTTCAACTGTTGATGCTAATTCTAGAGCATTGTGGTCATCCCCAAAGTAACCCCTAGACCCATCACCAGTCACTCCTCCTTCCCTGATCACCACAGCCCCCGGCAAGCCCTCAGCTACTTTGTCTCTGTGATTCGCATGTCTGGGCATCTCACACAAAGGGAATCTCACATGGCCTTTTGAGACTGGTTTCATGCACTTAGCGTATTAGTTTCAAGGTTCATCCCTGTTGTAGCATGTAATAGCACTTTACTCTCTTTATGCCTGAAAAACATTCCAGTGTATGGCTATATCACATTTTGTTTATTCATTCATCAATTGTTGGACAATTAAATTGTTTCCACTTTCAGGCTATTAGGAAGAATACAGCTGTGAACATGGGTATACAAGTATCTGTACAAGTCCCTGTTTCCAGTTCTTTGGGCATATACCAAGAAGTGGAATTACTGGATCATGTGATAATTGTATGCTTGATTTTTTGAGGAGCTGCCCTACTGTTTTCTACAGTGACTGCATCATTTTACATTCCCACCAGCAATGCACAAGGATTCCAGTTTCTCTACATCCTCACCAATACTTTTGAAACTTTCCTAATGGTGTTATTTGAAGGACAAAAACTATTAACTTTGATAAAGTCCAATTTATTTTTTCTTTTTTGATTAGTGTTTTTGGTGTCATCTCTCAGAAACCGTTGCCTAATCCAAAATCACAAACATCTACTGGTATGGTTTCCCATAAGAGTTCTGTAGTTGGCTTTTACATTTAGGTTTTCTGGTCCATTTTGAGTTAATTTTTGTACAGGGTGCAGTAAGGACCCAACTTCGTTCTTTTGCATGTGGATATCTGTGTATCCCAGCACCATTTCTTGAAAAAACTGTTCTTTCACCATTGTCTTGGAACCCTTGTCAAAATCAATGGGACATAAATGGAAGAGTTTATTTCTGGACCCTCAATCTATTTGATTTATTTCTGTGTCTATTAAGCAGGATTTTAATAGAAGCTTATGCTCTCCAGATCACACTTACCTTTCCTTCTACCACATAAGAGGGTTTGGTCAAAGGGTCTCTTTTATTATCCCAGTGTTTGTTCAGAACAAGTGCCACAGGCTTGATGGTATAGGAGCATACTTAGGAGGCTCTCCTGCTGGGGAGATGGAGTCCCAGGACTTCACCTTTCAGCCTATAGCCTATGTGAGACCACTAGGCCTCTGCTATGGCAGCAACCCTTCCTGTGATCTATCCCTCCTTGTGGTCCCCTCTTTCCCTCTGCTGATAGAAAATGGCCTTGTTTGAAGGGTGGAGGAAGATTCCAGGGTTGGAAAGATATGCAGGCTCCCTATGCACACAGCCAGCCCCAAGCCCAAGACCGGGGGGTGAGCAGGGACCTGACTTTTTGTCAAGAACTCTGAAGGGTCTAAGGTGTAATTTTACCCTACTTAGAAAGTAATGAGTTTGCTTGTCACTGTTTCATAGAGGCTGGCAGAAGACACAAAGCTCCTGGGTCAGAGACAAAAACTTTATTACTCACGTCACAGTCAGCAGCAGGAACGTCAGTGTATTTGTGTTTGACGTCCCTTTGCCACTGAAGTCCCATGTGATGGGCCCTCATGGATGCTGCACATGTAGTGAGTTTGGTTGCAGCTGAGTAACACTGGACCAAGGGCCCGACACTTTTTTGAGCTGGCAGCAAATAGGGTAGCACACAAGTCAGTTCCCCTCCCCACTGGGATGAGTAGTCACATGATGGTCATGCTACAGCCCCGTGACTGACTTAGCTGTCAGTGTGGCCACCTGCAGATGCTCTCAGTATCAGGGGATGGAGAAGCCTTGTGGTCTGTCATGCTCAGCAACAATTTGCAGGGATGTTCACGGCCCACAACTAGGGTAGAGACCTTTGCCTGCTTCACTTGCCACAAAAGCTGGGGGTGCCCAAGGGTCCCAAGGGTCCTACAAATAGGAGACTTCAGAGAAGGCATATGGCTTGCTCAGGAACATGCAGGAAAAGCCAAGCCAAGCTCCTGGTTCAGTGCTTTTTCCACCATCCTGTCTGCCCTTGGGGGTTTTATGGAACACACAGCGTGGCAGCAGCAGGGAGGCCTCAGCAGGAAGGGTTGGGGTGGATAGGGGTAGGGCAGCCTGGATCCACTGCTTTGCTTCCCTGTCCGTCAGATTCTTTTTTCAGCCTAGGTTGTGTGGGAGATGAGGGGGACATCATTTACAAGGCCAGCTGCGTCAGATTTGGTGGCAGAAATGGGACTTAGGAGCCCAATCATTTAATTACCAAAGCCGCAGGGGGTTTTTGAGTAGACATGGTTTGTCTAGTGGAAGAATACAGAGGAGAGGGTGAAGGAAATGGCAGGTCCATGGAGCTTTGTGCTAAGGACAGAGCTCACTCAGTGCTCAGGGCCACACCCACCTCCTTCCTGCTTCCTGCTGCTCAGTCCTTCCTCCCGAGCCCAGAAACCTAGTCCTCTCCAAATCCTTAAGCCCACTACTGCCCACTCCCTCCCAGAAGCCTTCTCAACCCTCCTGGGAACGTTCTGAGCCCTCCATGACTCCTCAGCTGCCACCCACCGCCCCTCCCCAATGGCACACAGTGGTCAGTGTGCTTTTTTATTGGTTTCTCTGTTGGGTCAAGACACCATCTTTCTTCTCATCCTGCCTCTCTCACCTGGGTTCCCCATGTAGTCCTGCTCCTGGTCAGCTGCAGAATCTGCCCTGCCATTGACCTGGAAGCAGTGGTGCAGCGGTTCAAGGCTGGAGCCTTGCAGTCTAAGAGGGCCACCAGGAAGACCCAGGGGCCATGCTGGGGAGAGACACAGGTGGGTCCACTGCACTCCTGGGGCCATTTGTGGAGTCTTCACTGAATACTATTCTGTCTCTCTCTTCCTCCCTCTCTACCACCCACAACCCCAGCTCTTCCCCTCCCCGCTGCAGACCCTCTCCAGGAAGATCGTGCGGTCCAAGATGAACAGCACCCTGGTTGGGGTGTTCACCATCATCCTAGTGTTCCTGGCGGCTTTTGTCAACATGGTGGGTGACTGCACGACCTCCCAGCACCTCCACAGCCCCATTGGGTCAAACCCAGTGGAGACATACCTGATAGGCAGGGCTAGGAGAGACTTTCCTTGGAAATTCCTATTTGTGTCACACCTGGGTCTTGGATCAGCTTTGACTCAGTGTGCCTCACACAAGTTCTTTTTTTTTTCTTTCTTTTTTCATTTTTGAGACAGTTTCACTCTGTCACCCAGGTTGGAGTGCAGTGGTGCCATCACAGCTCACTGCAACCTTTACCTCCCGGGCTCAAGAAATCCTCCTGCCTCAGCCTCCCAAGTAGCTAGAATACAGGTGTGTACCACCACGCCCAGCTAATTTTTCTATTTTCTTTTTTTGTTTTTGTTTTTGTTTTTTTAGAGATGGGGTTTCCCCATGTTTCTAGGCTGGTTGCCAGGCTGGTTTCAAACTCCTGGGCTTAAGTGATCTGCCGGCCTCGGCCTCTCAAAGGGCTGGGATTACAGGCATGAGCTACCATGCTCGGCGACTCTCCCACTAAGTGAAGTTCTTAGCTCTTCATTGTCAAGGCTGGTGGGGCCAGGAACAGTTCAGGGAATGTCCCTGAGGCATGTTTAGGAGCCCCTCCTCAGGAGGGCATGCTGGCCACACCCCCTCCAGCCAGGGCAGCTGGGCCAACCTTGCCCGTTCCTCAGCCTCTTTCAGGTTTTGTCCCTGTCCTTGCCATGCTGCACCTGAGGTGGAGGATGGGTGGGGGCCTCTGGCCTGTTGGGCCGGGCTGCCCTGCCTGGCCCTCCAGCAGCTGACCCTCCCCTCGCTGCCCTCCTCCCTGCCCCCAGTTCACGTGCAACTCCAAGGACCTGCTGGGCTGCTTGGCACAGGAGCACAATATCAGCGCAAACCAGGTCAACGCATGTCACGTGGTAGAGTCGGCCGTCAACTACAGCCTGGGTGACGAGCAGGGCTTCTGCGACAGCCCCTGGCCCAACTGCAACTTCCCTGAGGTACTGAGCATGCAGGGGCTGGAAGGGAGCGGTGGAGAGTCCTTGCCCTCCCCCACTGTCCCTTCAGATGCTCAGGACAGTCTGAAGGATAGGGTCTCGCCAGCCCACTGTCTTCTAGAGACCTGCTTACCCCAATGTCTCTCATTCCTACCTGCCAGACCCTGGGAACCAGGGGAGCCTCCTCAGTATACAGCGACAGTGACAGTGGTGCAGCTGTTGTTTCTGTGGTGCTTACCAGGGACTATGGCTAAGAACTCTACATGCATTTACTCACTAAATCCTCCCAACAGCCTGTAACATAGGTGTTATATTATCTCCTTTGTAGAGGCAAAGAACCTGATGCACAGAGAGGCTAAGTAACTTGTCTCAGGTCACACAGCCAGGACTCAACAGAGCTGGAGTTCTCATTCAAGTTGTCCAGCTCCAGACAGAGTTCGTGCTCCTGACCCGAGGGCAAAACTTTCTGGACCCTTGGCTTCTCTAGCAGACCCTACCCCACCTCAGGAGAACCCACCTAAGCCCCAGCTGTTAGGGTCAGAGAGGAGAGAGGGGAGCAAAGAAACCCGATCCCAAACCAGCACTACCATAAACCTCACCCGTTAAAAGTGCACAGTTCAGTAGCTTTTAGTGTGTTCACCGATGTGTGCATGCAGCCATGATCATCATCTAATTTTAGAACACTTTCATCACCCCAAAAAGAAATTTTGTGCCTACAGGCATTTGGGTTTAAAAATAATGCCACGTATCCTTATTTGGAGAACAGCGTATATTAAGCACCTGTGGTGCTAAAGGTGCTTCATTCGAAGTGCTGCGTTTGCCAGAGACCAGCTCACTAGTCAGCAGCTGGGCCGGGCTTCCAGCCTCCCCCTCCCACACCCCAGCTCCCTGTGGGTGTGCATGTGAAGCCTGTAAGATCGGGGGCAGGTTCTGCCTTTTTCTGGGGGAGAAGATCCATGTTTTCATCCAACTCCCAAGGGGCTTGTGACTGCAGCTGAGGGGTGCTGTGGGCTGTCAGTGTCGGCCTCCCTCCCAGCCTGGGATCCGGCTCCTAGTTGTACAGATGGGGCAGGGAGGGCCCGGGGAGGAGCAGGGCACTCCTGCACTGCCGTTGAGCTGGTGGCAAAGCTCTCTGTCTCCTCCAGGCAGCCATGTTGCACCCAGCCTCCCCTTCCTAGCCTCCTCCCCCCTGCCTCCCTCCCTAGCCTCCGCTGCCTCTCCTGTCTGGCTGAGAGCCCACAGGAGCACTTCATCTTTCTGAGGTCTGTTTGTGAGGAGCAGAGGCTATTTTCGGTCTCATACTTGCCCCTTGGTGGTGGCTTCCTCTGGTGGGGCTAGGGCCTGGGGGGAGAGGGTGGCAGTGGGCAGGTCCTGGCTCCTCATTTGTGGGAGAGGCTTGGTGCCAGCCTTCAGCCTACACCAGCTGACCACCCCCCACAAGGGTTGCTCCTGATTCAGCAGCTCCTCATAGACCAGGCCCTGGGGGGTCCCCAGCATCAAGTATTGGCCTCCTGGCTATCTGGACCAGGGTCTGAATGGGAATCCAGGCTTGGCTCTTCACCTTACATCACACCTGTTGGCAAATTAACTTCAGCAGAAACATGCCCAGCCCAGGCCTCACTTGAGCCAGCGCAGACTGGAGGATGCTGGGGTTGGGGTTAGGGGGTGGACAGGGCCTGGGGAGCTGATGCCACTGCCCTCTGCCCGCAGTACTTCACCTACAGTGTGCTGCTCAGCCTGCTGGCCTGCTCCGTGTTCCTGCAGATCAGCTGCATCGGGAAGCTGGTGCTCATGCTGGCCATCGAGCTCATCTACGTGCTCATCGTGGAGGTGCCAGGTGTCACGCTGTTCGACAATGCCGACCTGCTGGTCACCGCCAACGCCATGTATGGGGCACCTCCCTCACGCTACCCACTGGGTGCGGGACATTGCAGGGAGGTGGGAAGAGCAGGAGGTTCAGGGTCCTGCCACTGCAGGGAGCTTTTGAGGAGAGTGTCTTGTTCCTCCCCAGCCCTGACATCTGGTTGAAGTAGGGCAGGGTCTCTTTTCTTTCTTTCCCTCCCGTCCCCAGTAGTGGGAGTGGCCTCAGGTGACTAGGCCCCACTGTGTTTCTTTCTCTGGTTTGCTCCTCCCTTGCCAGGGCCGCCTCCAAGGGGGCTGTTTTCACCTTGGTCCAGCTGTCCCAGGCTCAGAGGAGTCATGGTCCGGGCAGAGCCGGGCAGCAAGGTGTGTGGGAGCAGAGGGACAAGCTTTGTTGTTCACAGGCTCCGTGTCCCACCTCGAGACAGGTGCTTGGACTTCTGTTGTTTCTCTTCATCCTCCAGCAACCCAGCGAAGTAGGCAGGCCCACCGCATAAGGCTGGGCATTGGTGCACTACTCAAAGGCTCCTGGCTGTGGTGGCAGAGGCTAGGTCCCACGTCCTAGAGGTGGTGGGCATGAGGGTGGGGCCCACAACTGTCTGGCCCCACAGTCAACATGGTCGTGTGGTGATGGATGATGTCAGATGTCCAAGGGAGGCAGCTCTATGAGGGGAAAGACCTCAGGCCTTGGGTGAAGTTGGGTTAGAATCTCAGCATCAGACACACGTTGGTTATTCCTCTGAACCTCATTATTTTTTCCTTGTAAAATGGGAATCATGTTGTCAACCCAAATTAAGGAAGTTGAGGCAGAAATAATTTGGTCAAGTTCTTTTGGAAGCTGAATGTGAGGATCGGCCAGGAAGACACACACAGCAAGTTGGGCATGTTCCAGAGGCTGTTACAAGTGGGAATTCTTTCATGAGAAAGTCGAGAAGGGAGGGGGACTCCTCATATCGGAGCTGTCCTTTGTCATTGGAGGGTTACAGTCATTGGCTACAGACTGCAACATACGACTAAAATGTCTGCGTGACAGCAGTCAGTACAACTTCATGATTCAGAAGCAAATTAGCATTTTTTCATGGCAGTGGGGTATGCATTCATCAGTACCTCAGCAATTTGAGGAACTCAGATAAGATTCTTCACTCGGGGCAGGATATTGCCGTAAATCTCAAGACCTCCCCAAAGCAGGCTAATTTGGAAGCTTGGCAAATGTGACCTGTAGATTATCAACACCCATAGTTGTAAAGTGTATTTAAAGTGTCTAATGCAGCATATGCCTTTCTACCCATCACCACTCCCTACACACACACCAAGAAATGCCAAAAAAAAAATGACAATTCTTTGTCCCCTGAGAAAATGCAGCAAACTGCACCTTGAGTTAGAGGAAGGGATTCATCCATGCATTTATTCACCCATTCACTCACTCAAAAATATTTATTAAGGGCCTGCCATGCACCAGCCACTGAGCTAGGCAGTGGAGGTACAACGTGGCTAAACAGAAAACTTGCAGGAATGTTCCTTTCTTGGGAAGTCAGTGTCGCCTGAGAAAGTGAAGGTGTGATAAAGGGTTTAAGTCATATTCAAGGAAGAACTTCCTGGTGGTTGTGTGGGAGCTATGGGCACATGACCATAAAGACACAGTACAGTCGGGCATGGGACAGGCTGATTCTTGAGGAGGAGAAGGAGGAGGAGGAAGAAGAGATCCAGGAACATTCTACCCATGGATCAGGGCTGGAGCAGGGAATGTTGCTCTCCTCTTTTTTTTTTTTTTTTTTTTTTTTGAGACAGAGTCTCACTCTGTCACCAGGCACCAGGCTGGAGTGCAGTGGCACAATCTCGGCATACTGCAACCTCCGCCTCCCGGGTTAAAGCAATTCTCCTGCCTCAGCCTCCCGAGTAGCTGGTACTGCAGGCACACACCACCAAGCCCAGCTAATTTTTGTGCTTTTAGTAGAGACAAGGTTTCACCATGTTGGCCAGCATGGTCTCGACATCTTGACCTCATGATCCGCCCACCTCGGCCTCCCAAAGTGCTGGGATTACAGGCATGAGCCACCATGCCCGGCCTGCTCTCCTCTTCTTACTGCTCCTTCCCTATCCCCAATATCTCATCTTCAGGTGCCAAAGTTGGCAGCAGACAATGAAGGTTATTTCTGGGTTGGGAGACCCTGGTTTGGCTCTAGGGCAACGTTGTCCAGTAGATAAAAAGTGTGTTGGGTGCGGTGGCTCACGCCTGTAACCCCAGCACTTTGGGAGGCTGAGGTAGGTAGATCACTTGAGCCCAGCCTGGCCAACATGGCAAAACCCGTTCTCTACTAAAAATAAATAAATGAGCCAGGCATGGTGGCGCACACCTGTAATCTCAGCTACTTGGGAGGCTGAGATACAAGGACAGCTGAGAATAGCTTGAACCCAGGAAGGAGGTGGAGCATGGGGCAGCATCCAGCCTAGATGACAGAGCAAGACTCTGTCTCAAAAAAAAAAAAGGGCAAGCCGCGGAGGTAATTTACAATTTTCTTACATTAAATGGGCAAAAAGTGTAATTTGACTTTTATTTAACCAATACTCTATAGCCAAAATATGATAATTTTGATATATAATCAATATAAAATTCTTGAAATATTTTACCTTGTTTTACACTAATTCAGAGTGTGGCGTGTGTTTCACACGTGCAGCACATTTTAACTTGCACCAGCCATGTTAAGGCTCAGTAGCTGCATGTGGCCAGCGGCCGCCACACCAAGCAGCGCGGTTGCAGGGTCTCTCCTCCACTCTGGGAGGCAGCAAAGGTCTGGGAGTGGGAGAGGCAGGCAGGCCTCCACCCAGGCAGACGTGTTGGGGTCGGGAAAGGCAGGGTCCTAGGTAAGAGGGGTGGTTTGTGGTCGTGTGTATCTGATGCTAGTTGGAGCTGGGCTTTCTGCCATCTCCCATCCTGAAAGTGTCCTTGGATATGGCGGGGGCATGGGGCTGGGGAGCCAAGGAAAGTGGTAGTGGGGACAGCAGAGCAGGGGTGGGGCCTGAGCAGTAGCAGAGGCTGCCTTATGCAGAAGGGTAGCCCTGACCAGTCTTCCCCAACTCTCTTCACAGAGATTTCAGCAACAACGGGACCTCCCAGTGGTGAGTTGATGCTCCTTGGATAGGGCCACTCCCTGCCCTCAGCACAGAGCACACAGGGAAGGCAGCCGGTGCCCAGGTGGGAGGGGCCTTGGTGGCAAGGTGGGTGGTGAAGGAGGAGGCTCATGGAGGGACCCCAGGCTGGCCCCTCCTGGGGTAGCAAGGCATCCTCAGAGGGCAGAGGCCCTGGTCACTTTCATGATCCCTGCCAAAGTGATCTGTAGGCTCAGTGTTGGGATCATCGCTTCATTTTAGAGCCTTCAGCCTCAAGCTCTTCCCTGGGAGCCTGTATGAGAACCCCAGACACAGGAGAATGGAAGCTGGTACCCGATTTCCTTCTGGAGTAGAGGAACAAAGGCGAGGCCAGCAGGACTTGTAGGACCCGTCCCTGCATTGAGGGCTGCTGCCTGAGCAGGGGCTCACTGGAGCCACTATGCAGCCTTCAAGGGTTTGAGCTCTTGGCTGGCACAAGACATATGGTTTGGAATGGCTGCTTTTGTTATGAGTGTTTGTTAGTAATAGTAACCAAAATAGAATTTGACAATAATGCTGCTAATTTTGGAGCACCTATTGTTTGTCAGATGCTGCACTAAGCATTTTGGTTATAATATCTCTTTAATCCTTACTGTCGTCTTGAAATGTAGGTATTATTATCCTGCTTTACAGATAAGCAAACTAAAGTTCAGAGACATTAAGACGCTTGCCCAAGGTTGTCCAGAGACAGGGTCAGCATGGCCTGCTTGGCCCCCTTGTTAACTGCACCCGCACCCCTGTCTTGTGCAGAGAAAGATCTGGATGTACATGCCGCCTTTTAGAAGGGCTGAGTTCATCCCCTGTTCTGACCAGTGGGGAGCTCCCGAGTGACAGGGGCTGTAAGGGGTCAGGAGAGGAGTAATGGCTGAGCTGCAGGTGCAAGCAGGGTCTGAGATGGGGCTGCCAGCCAGGAAGGCTTCCTGAAGGAGGCACACGTGAGGCAAAGTTAAGGAAGAGGGGAAGGTATAGTGAGAGGAAGAAAAAAAGGCCAGCAGTAGGTGGGGGTGGGGGTCCTCAAGGCCTGCTGTGAGGAGCCAGGGTGATCTTAGGCTTGTCCACCTCCCATCCACAGCCCTGAGCACGCAACCAAGGTGGCACTGAAGGTGGTGACACCCATCATCATCTCAGTCTTCGTGCTGGCCCTGTACCTGCATGCCCAGCAGGTGGAGTCCACTGCCCGCCTCGACTTCCTCTGGAAACTGCAGGTGGGTGGCCCTGGGGCTGGACCTAGGGAGGGGAGGCATTTGGGAGCAGGTAACGGAGACAACAGGCTCATCTGCTGGGCTGGGCCAGGCCTTTGTCTTACACTGACCAGCTGCCCTGCTTAGGCCCCATTGAAGCCACTTGGTGCCCTGCGTCCCTGTGGGTCTACTCCCTGCTCTCTCTAGCCAAGGGGCAAAACCCTGGGACTTACTCCATGTAGACAAAACCCTTGCTGACAGTGCTGGGACTCTGACGGGTCCAGGAGGCATGCTTTGAAGTCAGCAAATACTGGCTGGGCACTTCCTGTGTGTGTTGTCAGGCAGGGACAGGGGAGGTGCAGGCAGGTCCTTGGTGGTGGCAGCAGAAGGCGTCATGACAGTGGGATACGGAAGAGTGGCAAGAGGTGAATGGAGGAGTAGGGGAGGAGCCTGGCCAGGGTGGGGAGCTGGTACCAAAGACTTCTGAGCAGGGCTTGCTCTGGTCAGGGCTGGGGTGAAGATGACTGCAGAGGGGATGGACTGAAGGAGGCCCAGCCAGAGAGCACGGCAGAAACAGTGGCATGTCCTGGGGCCACAGTCCTGACCATGCCGTGTGCATTCCAGCCAGCACTTGGCTCTCCAGGCTGCATGCCCTGTCCCCTGTGCCTTGTGTCCCCCTGGAAGAGGGGGTGCCCATGGGCCAGGTTATCTGCTGGAACATCCCGGAAGGGCCAGGAGGGGAGTGCCCAAGAGCACTCATCAGGAGAAAGCCCATCTTCCTGTGGGCTGCCTCACACCTTTTATTCCAGGCCAGCCCTGTGCAGAGCTTAGCCGGGCCAGGCCTCTGCCTCTCCTGGCCCGGCCGCTATCTCCAGACCACTACAGCTCACCCACAGCTTGCTTTGACCTCCTCCATCCCAGACCTCTTAGAGGTGTCAGGATGAAAGTCTTTGGGCTAGGGCAAGAAACCCCACTTTTCACTGGATGCTGAGTGAGGATGGGAATAAATGGTTGTCCCTTCTGCTATTTTGCATGGATTCTGGCTGGAATTGAACATGGAGGTCTGCAGTTGAAGGTGCCCTGAGTTTGGGGGAACCAGGGAGAATCCCAGAAGGATTCTGTGCAGAATGCCCCTTTGTGAAGCCCTGGGCTGGAGCACCCTGGGGAAGATCGCATGTGAGCCTGCACCTGGTCAGGCTCCTGCTTTCTCCCTCACTCCCCTCTTCTTTGGGAAAATTTTCAAGAGGCTCTCATTTTTCTGCATTTGCCCCATTGCCCTCCACCATAGGTATTTTCTGACGTGATGCCCCATCACCCTTAAATACTCCAACGTCTACCTTCCAAAAACAAGGACACTCTCTGCGTCGTGCCCATACACCCTCCCCATTGGGCGATCAGCAGGGGTGCGGCAGGCCCTGCTCATTGTTGTTGCCTGTCTCCATGCTGGTCGGGGATCAGGTCCCGCTGGCCCACGGGTTCTCTGCATTGAGCTCTTCCGGGCTGCAGCAATTCCTCAGTCTCTCCTTGTCTTACGGTCCTTGTCAGTTTTAAAGAACTTGTTATTCTGGGACCTTCAGACCCATGTCCAGACTCAGGCTGGGCCTTCCTGGAGGAAGTACACAGAAATGCAGCTGAGCACTCCTCAGTGCCTCACACTGAAAGATTCCACCATGTTGACCCAACCCACCACCGGTGATGTCAGCCCTGATGGCCTGCTCAACCCGTGGCTGCCAGCTTTCTCCACTCTCAAGCCCCCTTTCCCCCTTTGTATTTGACTAGCACCTCATGGAAAGAGAGTCTGATGTGATACTAATTTTCTGATCCTTAGCAAGTCTCTGCCCAGCAGCCTCTGCATCCATTAGTGGCTCCTGCTTGTCTCAGTGCCTGCTGTGAAAATGCCCAATAGCAATGCCCAATGTCCGCCATTTCTTCTGGACTTGTTGGTGGTTATTCTACTGCACAGAAGAGCTGACCCTCCTCCTCCATTCACTTGCTCATTTCTTCACTTCTCTACCTCAGCCTGGACTCACAGATTGCCATTTAGTCCAGTGGGTTATCACCTGCTACCCTCAGTATTTATTTTAATGCTCAAGTCATCCTAGGTTTGGCCCACATCTGTTTCAAGTTGGTGTCTGTGTTATTTGACAGGTCTCCATCACTCTTATGAGCTTTTCCTGACTTTCCAACACAAGTGATCTCAGGCTAATCTTGTGCTTTCCCTGATCCAGCCCAGGAATCTGATTTCTCCAAAGAGCCCTGACTCATTCTTTGTAGTAGAGAGTGTTGTTTAGAAACCAAGGCCTGAGCTTGGTGTGCTCGCTGCTTGTAGGTCATCTCCATGGACGATGCTAGGAAAGATATGTAAGTGTGTAAACTTATGCGGGAACATGTGTACACACGTATCTATACTACTACAGTATCCATCTGCATAGATATGTTTTTAATCCTGAGTTCATACCACTACTTCCCATTTTAATCCAATACCTCAGGCTTCTTCCCAGCCTTCTTTTTTCCATGCTTGTCATGTCATCTCTGGCAATGAGAAACTCACCTTCCATTATATCTTTCATATATGTATTTATTTCCTCAGTGGTGACTCCTTTAACCCTCCCCACCTGTGTGTACACACGTGCACATGAGACTGTGTGTGTGTGTGCGTGTGTGTGTGTAGGAATGTGTGGGTGAGCCTGTGTCTACCTGCCAGCCTGTGTCAACCTTCTCTCCCTGAAGTTTTCCAACAGGTCCCTCATTCTCCCATCCTTCCCCTGGGATTTTTGGGAGAGGGAGCCAACATCGCATAAACACCAATAAAGAAACACCAGAAAGCAGGCCCTTGGGATGGGTGAGTGACAGTCCCTGCCCCGCCACAGGCAGGCTCAGCAGCCCCTGTGCAGTTGGTGGGTAGGCGGACTCCTCAGCATTTCTGAAGCACCTGAACAAGGAACACACCCTGACTGGCTAGCCCCACTCCTGGCCCCCTCCTGGCCTAACTACAGGGTCTCAGTTCTCAGGAGAGCCTGCTCTTGTCCCTTTCCCCAGCATTGACCTTAGTGGGGCCACCAAGAAGCTGTAGCCCCCTGAACCTTCCTGTCCCAGAAGTAGTTGGCTGCATTAGCAGGAGCCAGCCACCTGTGCTGGGGTAGAGTTTGCAGAGGTGGCTGGAGCAGCTGGTCTGGCCCTGGGGATTAGCCCTGCCCCCAGCAGTAGCCTGCTGTAGCGGCCCTGCCCCCAGCCTCCATCTCCACTCTGTCTGACACTTTGGGCTGATGCTGTCTGCTACCTGCTGGGTGCATCAAAGGAGGTGGAGTGCTCCTGGCATCCATGCGTCCCCATCCATGTGTCTCAGCAGAGGTAGGAGCAGGACTGTCTAGTCTTGTGCATTTTCAGATACAAATAACTGACTACAGGGCTCCTCCATGGGACAGACCATGAGAAGCACAGGGATCCCCACCTCAGCCTTCTCCCATGGGCACAGCTTTTCCAGAGCCAGACATAGGTAACCTTCTTCATGGGGAGGGGCATGGGTAAAGGATCCTGCCTCCTAGGAGGTCACCTGGGCAGGAAGGCTAGGCAAGAAGACAGCACAGACCAGCTGGCTTGCCACACCTCTGTGGATGGCAGTGGAAGGCAGGGCTGTTTAGCATGCAGAAGCCCTTGAGATGATCTCAGTCCTCACAGCTACATTCCCAGGGACTCCAGGAGGCTACCAGGCCATGGGCAGCACGGTCAGGAGCCCTGTCACTTTAGGGGTAGGGCTGGCCACTGAGGCTTGGGGTTCTGGAGCTTCTGCCCTGGGAGCTCTTCCTCCTTGCTGGTCCTGAAGCCTTGAAAAGGGATGCCAGCTCCTTCCCCATGGACAGCCATCACCCACAGGGACAGCCAGGGCCCTGAGAGGCAGTCCTGGTCCTGTTGGAGATTCTACTTGCAGCTGAGTAGAAAGGTGTCTCCATTTAGTTAGGAAAAGCCCAAGTGGGCCAGCCAGCCCTCTCAAAGTGGCTCTGCTAATTAGTGGTCCTCTCTTGGTTGGTTTTGTCAACACCGTCACTCCCAGTTAAAGGGGCCATGTTATCTGCCACCATGGATAGGGAAGCCAGCTGACCAGTGCAGTGTCTCATGAACACTCTTGTCAGATGGTTCCTTGCCACACCTTGGTGTGTGATGCCTCTTCCCTTCAGCCCCTTGTAGGGCACAATTGGCCTCTTGACCCAAGGGATCTGCACTGTCCTTTATTCTGGAGGGTGAGTGACCACAGACTCCGCTGTACAGACCCAGGACCCAAACTGGGGGAAAACCAAAGTCACTGGTAATGTCCCATCCTCATCCCAGGGGGTACATCATGGCACCTGCGCCTCCTGGCTGTGGCTGGCTCTGGGGCAAGTCTGCCCTGCTGGGAGGCAGGGAGACTGGGCAGGGCTTTGGGCTGTTTTGCCCCACAGATCGGTAAATTAAGGTAACTCTGGCTTTTGATTGCATTTCCTGATATCAAGAGGACAATGAACAGTAGAAGAGGACCGGGGAGCTAGAGGGCTGTGTGGGCTGTGTTTTGTATCCTTTTTCCTTCCAGCCTGGTTCTGGCCTTTGGCAGACAGGATCCTTGCGGCCTCGCCTCCAGGCCTGTTCCTGCTCGGGGCTCCCTATAGGCTCAGCACCCCCAGAGAGGCTGGCAGGGAGAGTTCATGAAGCCCAGTGTCTTTTCTGATTGTCAACGTCCTGCTTTTTGGAGAAAACCTGGAAGTGGAAACAGCAGAGAGGAGGAGAGGCAGCGGTAGTTGCTGACATCCTGGGCACAAGTTGGCATTTGCTTGACCGGCGCTTTTTCTCCAGGCCATGGAGAGGAGGAGGTGGAGGCGCCAACATCCTGGGTGCATGTTGGCATCTGCGTGACCTGCAGTCTTTTCCTCGCAGGCCACAGAGGAGAAGGAAGAGATGGAGGAGCTGCAGGCCTACAACCGGCGGCTGCTGCACAACATCCTGCCCAAGGACGTGGCCGCTCACTTCCTGGCCCGCGAGCGGCGCAACGATGAGCTCTACTATCAGTCCTGTGAGTGCGTGGCGGTCATGTTCGCCTCCATCGCCAACTTCTCCGAGTTCTATGTCGAGCTGGAGGCCAACAACGAGGGTGTCGAGTGCCTACGGCTGCTCAACGAGATCATCGCTGACTTCGATGAGGTCAGCGGGGCCTGGGGCAGGCTGTGTTCCCGGGAGGGGCCCCCGGGTCCCTGGTATGGGAGGGATGTGAAGAGACGTAGTGCCCCCTTCCACCATCCCGACATCAACAGTGATGATGGGAGCTCTGCCGGCAGGAACTGACCATGTCCCCAGGCGCTGCAGTGGTCACACATGGCCTCTCCCATCATCATGTGACAGATGAGGAAACAGGCCCACAGACCTCTGTCGTCTGGCCTAAGGTCACTGCCAGTAAGTGGTAGAGCTGGGGTTTCAGCCCACACTGTTAAAACTTAGCCTTTGGCAGTTGCCTGTCTGGCTCACTGACAGCCATTTCTCTCATGCCATCTAGGGTGCACAGGGCCCCAGGGCCTGGGACAACTGAATGTCTGTGTCCAGGGGTTTGAGAGAACCAAAGGAAGGAGGAGGCTAAGGGAGGAAGCAGGACAAAGATACGAGGCCCTGAGCAGCAGAAGCTGAATTGAGGCATTCCTTCATTTCCCTCTCATACCTCTGCTGAGTGGCTGGCGTGTGAATGTGCTGTGGCTGCAGAGCCCTGTAGGGCAGTCTCGATTGCAGGGGCTCCCAAGTCATGGGCATGAGAGGGGCCACCCCAGTGGGCATCCACGGCCTGAGCATGGGGTGCAGGGAGGAGCAGGATGATGGAGCTGAGCCAGGCAGTGTCGGGAACAGCCTGTGAGACTCCTGGGGCAGTGGAGTGATGGGAATTTGTTGAATTGAGTCTGGGAAGGCTTCCAGGAGGGCCAGGGCCAGTGGGTAGGGAAAGAGTGTCCTGCTGGACAAATTGAGGTTTTCCTGGGTGGGATGGGGGTGTGAGCTTGTGAAGGGAAGACAAGAGACCCAGAGGTGACTAGAGATCTGTCTTCAGGGCTCTTGGCATGAGGGTGGGCAGGTAGCCCACAGGCACTGTCCAGCGGGTGTGCAGGTGTGGAAAGGCCTGTCTGTGTCAGGAGTGTTGTGGGCATTACACTGCTGAGGATGGAGACAGGCCCCACTGTGTGAAGAGGGTCACATGAAGGGCTGGCCATGCTGCTGCACTTCCCTGGACATCCTTCGTCCCTCCCTGTGGTCCTCTGTGTCCCAGGCTTGGGGATGACCCAGCTTTGGCCTCCTTCATCCAGATCATCAGTGAGGATCGGTTCAGGCAGCTGGAGAAGATCAAGACCATTGGCAGCACCTACATGGCCGCTTCTGGCCTCAACGACTCCACCTATGACAAGGCGGGCAAGACCCACATCAAGGCACTGGCCGACTTTGCTATGAAGCTGATGGACCAGATGAAGTACATCAATGAGCACTCCTTCAACAACTTCCAGATGAAGATTGGTGAGTGAGGCCCCAGGAAGCACTGAGCCCAGGGTGTAGTCAGGCGGAGGGCTGGCAGGGGCTCCCCCACACCCCATCCCGCATCCTCCATTGTGGTCTCAAGGTAGAAGGCTAGGTGGCAGCAGAGGCTGATGCAGTGTCTTCCCTGCCCTTAGCAGGTGGGGGCAGGCACGGGTCACTCACAGCAGAATCCACCCAGAGCCTGGTGATGCCTCTGCTGCCTTTTGACATGAGGGGAGCATGGGCAGGACACCCCTTGGTGAGTTCCCACCTCACTCAGATTCAGGGATGGCCTGGTGGGACCCAGGTTGTGCCTGCTCAAAAGGCTTTGTAGGGGTTGCTCTGTGCTGAGGGTACAGGGCTTTCTGGTGGTTGCAGCAAAGGCAGATGGCAGTCCCATTTATTTTGAGTAATAGTGATCTAACAGCACTTTTTTGTTTGTTTTTATTTGAGACGGAGTCTTGCTCTGTCACCCAGCCTGGAGTGCAGTGGCAAAATCTCAGCTCACTGCAACCTCTGCCTTCCTGGGTTCAAGCAATTCTCCTGCCTCAGCCTCCTGAGTAGCTGGGACTACAGGTGCCCACCACCATGTCTGGCTAATTTTTGTGTTTTTAGTAGAGATGGGGTTTCACCATGTTGGCCAGGCTGGTCTTGGACTCCTGACCTTGTGATCTGCCCACCTCAGCCTCCCAAAGTTCTGGGATTATAGGCATGCGCCACCACGCCCAGCCAACATCAGTTTTTTTTTTTTTTTTTTTTAAATTTAAAAGTATTCCACATTCATTCAGTAAAAATGGAAAACAATAAAACCAAACACTTGATACATTTTAAGTGCAAAATGTGTAAACGTTACCAGTCATTAAATTTGCAAATTTAGGAAAACATTGAACATGTAATCTGTAAAATTGTTAGCAAAATAAAGTGAAATAGTTAAAAAAAAAAACCTAAACATTGAAAGAATCATGTGATAGTGACCATGAAATGATTCTGACTTTTAAAAAATAGTAATCTTAGGAAATGGATTAGTGGGGTTATTGTTGAGTTGAGGTGGTGAGCAAAATCTCCTAGCAGCTGCTCATTCACACAAACTGGGGGAAGAAATGGTGAGGAGCTTATGATGAGTCAAGACCCTGTGTCTTCCCTGGGCTCCTTCTGTGTCACATGCCTTTCCTTGGCTGGATGGGTCTGGGGGAGCTGTGCTGAAGCCTCTGTGGTGTCCGGAAGGGGGATTCTGGGCAGAGGTCCTGGATCAGTTTCAAAATAGTTATGACCTTATTCTTGCTCAGGAAGTCTTTGAACCAAAAACATCTGTATTTTGCTTTTAAGTCAGTTTTGTTTCATTACCCCTAATCTTTTTTTTTTTTTTGGGATAAGTTTCAACTCTACAGAAGAGTTGAAAGAATGGTATGGTGAAAACCCAGGTACACACTTCCCCATGTGTTCCACCCTACTTGTGTCCATAAATGACCATGTAATGCTAGCTCTGAACTGTTCCATAAAGCTAGAGATTGGGCCAGGCGCTGTGGCACACGCCTGTAATTCTAGCACTTTGGGAGGCTGAGGTGGGTGGATCACCTGAG